AGGGAAACTAGGCTGGACAATGGCCTTCCAGGACCAGAATGTGTATATTGTTATGTCACAGAGTTTTTAGGTACTAAGGAAGATCACTCATGTAATCAGTTGTGTAACTTGTGTGTTGGGTGGACTGGTGAGAGTATTGCTTTCATGGAGAACTTAGTGTGCTATCTTTGGCTCCTGTGCCTGTCACGTGAGATGGCTTTCTCTGCTGCCTGTGTGGGACACAAGTATGAGATTACAAATGCCAAACATATCCTTGACTTAAACGACATACTCACAAGGTGAATATGTTCACTTCTGTCACACAGTCTCCACATCAGCTTTCTGTTTCTGACTGGCTCTGCTCTGTACTAGCAACCCTCCTTATCACATCTCCTTGTGTTTTGATAACTACTCATGCACACCATCACTTCCTATATAAATATAAATATTTACAATTTATACTATTTGCTGTACAAGGTCCTGTGTATCTACACTATATGGAGAAACTATTGGGACACACCTCTTCATCATTGAATTGTTTCATTCAGTCCATTTGCCACAGTATAAAATCAAGCACCTAGCCATGCTGTCTGCCTTTACAAACATTTGTGCAAGAATGGGTCATTCTTGGATGCTACCATTGCGACAAGTCAGTTCATGAAATTTCTTTCCTCTTAGATATTTCATGATCAGCTGTGAGTGGTATTATTGACAAGTGGACGCATTTAGGAATGACAGCAACTCAGCCACAAAGTTGCAGACCATGCAAAATTACAGAGCAGGGTCGCTGAGTCACAAACGCTCTGCTATGTCAATAACTGCAAACCTCCAAACCTTCTCTGCCATTATCATCAGCACAAAAACTGTGTGTCGGGAGCTTCATGGCATGGGTTTCCATGGCCGAGTACCTACATGCAAGCCTTACAACAACAAGCACAATAACAAGGGTCGGATGGAGTGGTGGACCACCACTGGACTCTGGAGCAGTGGAAACGTATTCTGTAGAGTCACAAATCATGCTTCTGTATTTGGTAATTTGATAGACGAGTCTGGGTTTGGCGAATGCCAGAAGAACATTACCTGCCTGACTGCATTGTGCCAACTGTAAAGTTTGGTGGAGAAGGGATAATGCTATGGGGTTGTTTTTCAGGGCTTGGCCTAAAATCCTCAGTTCTAGTGAAAGGAAATCTTAGGTCCTCAGCATACCAAGACACTTGTATGATCAGTTTGGTGTGGAAGAACTTGACTGGCCCTGACCTCAACCCCATCAAAAAACCTTTGGGATGAACAAGAACGAAGATTGCAAGCGAGACTCTCTCATCCAACATCAGTGTCTGACCTCACAAATGCTCTTCTGGACAAATAGGCAAAAATTCCAACAGACCCACTTCAAAATCTTACAGAAAACTTCCCAGAAAGATGGAAGCTTTTATAGCTGCAAAGGTGGGACCAACTCCATATTAATACGTATGGATTTGGAATGGGATGTTACAAAACTCCTGTACGTGTAATGTGTAGGTCTCCCTATACTTTTGCCCATATAGTGTATGTGACCATTGATTTTACCCTTTACCAAATTTATTGAAACTGATCACTACAAAATTCTAAGGGCCATTAGATGGCTAGTCACTATAAAACATACTCATGTATAAACATGTAATCTACCAGAATTAACTGATAATGACATATCACAACCTCTGAACACTATGTGAGAGACATATAGAATACAATTGTACAAACATATTGCTCTACCTTTAAACACCTTTGTTTTAGTTACCATTTTAATTATTTTTATTATCTACTGTTACTATTTCGTTACATTACTATTTCAGTAATACCTTAGAAAGAGAAATTAAGGAGAAATCCTACTAAAGTTAAGTCCAGAATGTGGCTGTAATTTAAAGGGGAAGCATTGCTTTCACAGCCACAAATGAGAGCACAGTTGTGGCTGTGCTTGGAGCAGCATATGACATTAATCAGTCAGGACAAGTCAGGCTGTTAGCAGGCCATGTGCCTCTTTTCTCTGCTGCCCTGGCTCTCTCTGTTTCACTGGACCCTCTACCTCGCAGTGTATCCTACAGCCTCATACATCTCTCTGCATCTCTGTCCACTGGATGAGTAATTTTCACACAGATATTGGTCAAGCTATTGTACAAAATATATATTTCATTGAACAAAGACCGGTGAGACCTGTTTACAGGATATTATTAGAACCACCACATTACAAGTAGGCAAATAGGAATAGAATAGAATAGAATAGAATAGAATAGAATAGAATAGAATTAGGTAGAGCAGAGCAAAATCAAATACAGCAGACAAATACAATAGAATAAAATAGAGGGCAACAGAGCAGAATAGAGTAGAATAGAATCTAGCAGAGCAGAACAGAATAGAACAGAGAGGACTAGAATAGAACAGAGGAGAATAAAATAGAATATAGCTGAGCAGGATAAACCAGAGCAGAAGAAAATAGAGCATAACAGAGTTGAACAGAATAGAGCAGAGCAGAATAGAATAGAGCAGAGAGGACTAGAATAGAACAGAGGAGAATAAAATAGAATATAGCTGAGCAGGATAAACCAGAGCAGAAGAAAATAGAGCATAACAGAGTTGAACAGAATAGAGCAGAGCAGAATAGAATAGAGCAGAGCAAGGTATAATAGAGCAGAAGAGAATAGAATAGAACAGAGCAGAATAGTATAGAGGAGAATAGAATAGAGCAGAGCAGAATAGAATAGACTGCCCTGAGATGGACTGGTGACCTGTCCAGGATGTATCCTGCCTTCCACCCAATGACTGCTGGGATAGGCTCCAGCCCCCCCACCCCGTGACCCAGAAGGATAAGCGGCTTAGAAGAAGAAGAATAGAATAGAACAGAACAGAACAGAGGGGAATAGAATAAAACAGAGCAGAATAGAACAGAGGAGAATACAACCCCATTTCCAAAAAATTTGGGACGCTGTGAAAAATGTAAATAAAAACAAAATACAATGATGTGCAAGTCATTTAAACCCTATATTTCATTGAAAATGGTTCAAAGATAACATATCAAATGATTAAACGGAGAAATGTTGCCCATTTTGAAAAATATATGCCCATTTTGAATTTGATGGTAGCAACACTTTCCAAAAAAATTGGGACAGGGGCAACAAAAGGCCTTGTTGTTAAAAAGCCTGGTGTTTAATTGGCAACAGGTCAAAAACATGATTGGGTATGAAAAGAGCATCTCAGAGAGGCTGTCTTTCAGAAGTGAAGATGGGGAGGGGTTCACCACACTGTGAAAGACTGCACAGGCAAATAGTGCAACAATTCAAGAATAACGTTTCTCAACGTAAAATAACATAAAATAGCAAAGGACTTTTGCTTTTCATCATCTATGGTGCATAATATCAATAAAAGATTCAGAGAATCTGGACTAATCTCTATATGCAAGGGACAAGGCCAAAAACCAGCATTTGCTGGCCGCACTGCATTAAAAACAGATATGATCCTATAGTGGAAATCACTGTTTTCACTGTCTGTGAAAACAGTTCGTCGCTGCATCCACAAATGCTAATTAAAACTCTTAAATGCAAAGAAGAAACCATATATAAACAGGATCCAGAAACACCGCCACCTTCTCTGACCCGAGCTCATTTAAAATGAGGCGAAGTGGAAGTGTCCTGTGGTCCGATGAATCAACATTTGAATTTCTATTTGGAAATCATGGACACTGTGCCCACCAGGTAAAGACCAATCAGCTTGTTAGCAGTGCACGGTTCAAAAGCCAGTATTCATGATGGTACAGGGGTGCAGTAGTGCACATGGCATGGGTGATGTGCACATCTGTCAAGGCACCATTAATGCTGAGCGAAATATACATGTTTTGCCAACATATGCTGCCACCCAGACGACGTCTTTTTCAGGGAAGGCCTTGCTTATTTCAGCAAGACAATGTCGAACCACATTTTGCATGTATTACAACAGCATGGCTCTGTAGTAAAAGACTCCGGATGCTAAACCGGCCTGCCCGCAGTCCAGACCTGTCACCACTGAAAACATTTGGCACATTATAAAATTAAAAATAGGACAATGGAGACCCTGAACTGTTGAGCAGCTGAAATCCTATATCAAACCAGAATGGGAAAACATTTTACTTTGAAAACTGCAGCAGTTGATGTCCTCAGTTGCCAAACGCTTACAGAGTGTTGTTAAAAGAAGAGGTGATGAAACACACTGGTAAACATACCCCTGTCCCAACTATTTTGGAATGTGTTGTTGCCATCAAATTCAAAATTGGCATATATTTTTCAAAAAACAATTAAATTTTAGTTTCAACATTTGATATGTTGTCTTGGTACTATTTTCAATGAAGTATGGGGTTATATGATTTGCACATCATTGAATTTTGTTTTTATTTACATTTTGCACAGCATCCTAACTTTTTTGGAAATGAGGTTGTAGAATAGAACAGAACAGATCAGAATTGAACACAGCAGAACAGAAATGAACAGAATAGAATAGACCAGAGCAGGATAGAATAGAGCAGAATAGAATAGAGCAAAAGAGAACTTAGCACAGCAGAACAGACCAGAATAGAATAGAACAGAGGAGAACAGAATAGAGCAGAGCAGGAGAGAATAAATCAGAATAGAATAGAACATACCAGAATAGAGCAGAGTAGAATTAAATAGAACAGACCAGAATAAAATAGAGCAGAGCAGAATAGAATAGAACAGAACAGAGATGAACTGAATAGATTGAAGCAGAGCAGAATAGAGCAGAACTGATTAGAATAAAGCAGAGTAGGATAGAATAAATAAATATATAGAATAACAACAAATATCGACCAAATCTTCAGAGTGGCCTGAGTGGACACTTTCTTCAGTAACCTGTCCATCTTCCTTCTTGCTCTTTTCTTTTCCCGCGCCGTCCCTCGTGGAGCTCGCGCTGCTGTGGGCATGCTCTGTGATGCTCTCTGTCAGATGGCAGTCTCGTGACCCGGCAGCGCTCACTGAGCATGCTCGAGCCGTGGTGTGTTGTCAGGGAGAAAGCAGACAGCCAGTCAGTAAAGGCAGAAATAAACAGCGACTATTACCAGACACAGCCAGACACAGGGACCAGACACAGACAAATAAGCACACAGAAAAGCCTGCTCATAATGACACTCTCATAATGACACTCTCAGTAAAAACCGCCGGGGTCGTTTTGAACGGTTAAAGGCGCACAAAATACGAAGAAGCGTCACTGTTCTGTCAAGAGGTAAGGCTAACATTCACCTACAGGGTGCTGAACTGAAACGCTCCTAATATTCCTCATAGCTCCTCACAGTCCTACAGACACAGGCATCGGTGTCGACACAGGTGCACATTTTTATAAAACAATCAAAGGGGCAAAGCAAAGACAATGAATGCACTGCCTAAATAAACGTGATATATTAGATGCTTTGGCTCTTATATAGTTAGTTAGCTGCTTTGTTCTTGTCTGCTCGAGCCAGTATAATAGTCTACAAAGAAAAGAAAAAAAAACCTAAGCATTTTTCTGCCAAAGTGCTCATCAAACATGTGAAATGCATCTCCTTCACACAGAAAAACATCAACTATTTTTGATTTGTAGGAAATTAAATATGGTTATTTAACTGATTTCATTGTTCACGTATGCCCTTTGTTTGTGTGTGCCCCTTTCTTATATGTTATACTGATAGAATTATTTCATGTCTCCTGAAATGTTAAAAAATCTGGCTTTTAACATCTTGTCAGGATGGAAATAAGATAAATGAATCAATCAACACATAATTTTCTCCTTGCGTTTCCACAGGTTGTTTTGGGGACAGCTTTACTGAATGAATTTGACTGAATGAGAGTAATCTTCAAGCTGATCCTAATGCCTGACCTCATCTGAAAGTCTAAGACAGATCTCAGCATACTGTTTTATTGCAAACTTAACTTTCTTATTTCCTTACTGGATTAGATGGGAAGGGTGACAGAGACTCTCGGGAGCTGAAGTCTATGAACAGCATGGTAAGGAAATCATAACTATTGACAAATATGTCAAACATTTCAAATTAATTTTATATTTTATGGTGTTTTTTCATCTGTTGTTCATTGGTTTCTTAAAGACATATGAACAATTATATAAAATGAGGAATAACTTGGATAATTTAAGTGAACATTGTAGATCCTGTGATCCTAGACTTAGGATGTCCTACTGACACACTCACCTCATTGAGTAGATTAGTCAGGCAGGCTGAAGCAGACCATCAGGCATCTACTGAAGGAATGGATGGGGGAGGGAAGAAGAAGAGAGCAGTTGAATCACAGAGGGTTAAGGAGACAGAGAAAGCCGTAGATGTGTTAACCTGTCTCTAACCTGTGTTGACCTGTCTGTTTCTCAGAGTGTCAGTGAGCAGTGCTGGACTGATGAGGATTCAAATGGAGACAGTGACTGTGAGGAGTTGTTCTACGGAGCACAGGTAATTCTATGGCAAAATGTTAAATATACGGGCAAACACACACACACACACACACACACACATATATATATGCTGTTGGCTGATTTTTTTTGTTGGTGCACTATTCTCAGTCCAGCAGTGACACTGAGATGTTTAAAAACTCCAGCAGCACTGCTGTGTCTGATCTGTGATGTGTGTGTGTGTGTGTGTGTGTGTGTGTGTGTATGTGTGTGTGTGTGTGTGTTTATATATACATATGCTGTCTGGTATGAATGGCTTGGAAAGGCAGTTCATAATTATGCCTAAGCATAAAAGAATAAATAAGGGTTTAATGGTGGAACATCACTGGCATTGATTGCAGTTTAGTCCAGGATCAGACTAAAAGGGAATTCCCCCAGTTGTTTCAGTCATTGAGAATTATGTAGAAACTGCATTGAGTCACTCAGAGTTGTTTGATGTGAAATGGTTTAGGATGCAGGAGTCGCAATGTCTATAGCACAAATATAGCCATTTTGTTTACAATTCAAAAAGAGCAGTGAACCTGCACATTCTGATTTTTTTATATGTAAAGCTGATAATGGTGAAAAAGTGAGCTTTATTTGGATATTAATTCGCCTTACAACACCCTGCATGCACTTCTCTGCCATAACTGAATTTTAAAATGCCAAAATTATGTCTCAAAACTATCATCATAAAACAGTGTCTTAACAACACATTCGTAATCATTTTGTGTGATAACTCTGATGTAGCTTTTAGAAGAAATCAACTCTTCTCTGGTTCCTGTCACCACCACTCTAAACAATTCTGATTCTAAGTGTCTCTAGAACAGAGTGTTTCACATCACACCACTCTGAATGACTTTGATTACATGTTAATCATTTGATTAATCAACTTTCAAAAATCAGCAGAATTCCCCTTTAATTCATGTCTGAGAAACCAACCCTATAAGAGTACTTATACATCACTCATATCAATTCTGTCTTGAAAAAGCCAATTCCTTGCATTGCTTATACTTCACTCATATGCAGAGCTTTATAACTGAGGAATATTCAATGCAGGGACATTATGTTGCTGACCTGTATTGCCACCCTCAGTTGGATACAGACGTTGGAGCTGTGAAAGACATCTACTCTGACAGTGCTGTTTCTGTAAGGTACTGAAAACATAAGATATAGTTGCTAAACTATATATATATATATATATATATAACACTGTTATTATTAATGAGCAGAAATTAGTCATATAGTTATTAAGGACAACCTTCACATACTTTGAGTCTATATTGCTTTTACCTATATTGCTCATTTTGATCATAATCGCTGTTATTATGGAAATTAGGTGCTCAACTTGCCCCCCTTTTTTAGGGAATATGAGACGATTGATGATGTTGACATTGACCTACACATCAACATCAGCTTTCTGGATGTGAGTTTTTTGTTTCATCAGATAATTTACCTCCAAATGCTTCTGTAAGAAACATGGAACTAATTTGAGAAAATGGTACCACTGCAAATCTCTTTAGTAGAACTAATCATCTGCTCTGTTCGACAGGAGGAGATAGCTTCAGCCTGGAAAGTCAACAGAACAGAACCTATCGTTTTACGCCTTCGCTTCTCATTATCTCAGTACCTAGATGGACCAGGTAGGAATGCACATTTGTATGCATAAATGTTAGTGGTGTAAAAATGTGATTCAACTGCATCAATTTTAGAATAAATTAGAATTTAATACAATAATATTCAGTAAAGTATGTGCTAAATAAAATTTTGATGGGTATTTTCAAATAAACCTCAAAGGAAGGAAAAATAGAACCTTGATATAGTCTATATTACACTACATCATTCATCCAGCCACATTTGTGGTGTTCTCAAAAATTGTTCTGAATCATACCAAAATAATCAAACTGAATTGTATCTTGGTGAAATGTAACATTTCATGATACTTTGATTCGTTTCCTAAATCTTAATAAAATCCAATCATTGAGGGGTCAGAAATTTACACCTCTAATAAATGTGTGTACACTGTACAGCCCCATTTGTTGGGACGTTGTACAACAGAAAGCAATGATGTGCAAATCATTTCAGCTCTAAATTGAATTGCAAGTAGTACAAAGACAACATATCAGATGTTGAAACTGAGAAACTCTTTTTGTTTTTATTTTAAATATATGACCATTTTAAATTTAGTGCCAACAACACGTTTCAAAAAAGTTGAACCGGGCAACAAAAGACTGGTAAATTTGTGTAATGCTAAAAAACAACTAGTGGAACATTTCACAGTTGATTAAGTTAATTGGCAACAGGTCAGTAACATGATTGGCAATAAAAAGAGCATCGAAGAGAGGCTTTTAGGTCTTTCAGAAGTGAAGATGGGGAGGGGTTCACCTCACTGTACAAGACTGCAAATAGTGCAACGATTTAAGAATAATGTTTCTCAAAGTAAAATAGCAAAAAACTTGGGGATTTCATCATCTACGTTACATAATATTAAAAGAGAAATCTCTGTATGCAAAGGACATGGACGTGGCACTGCATTAAAAACACATAATTCTTTAGTGACAATCACTGCATGGGCTCAGAAACACTTCTGAAAACCACTGTCTGTAAACACAGTTTGTACCTGTATCCACAAATGCTAGTTAAAACTCAAATATAAACAAAAACACATATCATGCAAAGACAAAATCACATATAAACAGGCAAATCAAAATGTGAAATTCTTTTTGGAAATCATGGACGCCGCATCCTCTGGACTAATGAGGAAAGGGACAGTCTTCCTTGTTATCAGCGCACAATTCACAAGTCAGCATCCGTGATGGCATGGGTGGCTTGCACATCTATGAAGGCACCATTCATTCTAAATGACACTTACAGGTTTTGGAGCAACATAGGCTGCAATCCAAACAACAACTTTTTTAGGGAAGGCCTTGCTTATTTCAGTAAGACAATGCCAAACCACGTTCTGTACGTATTAAAACAGCATTGCTCTGTAGTAAAAGAGTCCTGGTGCTAAACTGACCTGCCTGCAGTCCAGCCCTGTCACCCACTTGGGCACATTATGAAACGAAAAGTACGATAAAGGAGACCCCGAACTGTTGAGCAGCTGAAAACGTATACCAAACAAGAACAGGAAAACATTTCAGTTTCAAAACTACAGTAATTGGTCTCAATTTCCAAATGCTTACAGAGTGTTGTTTTTTTAAATGTGTTGCTGGCATCAATTTCAAAATGGGCATATATGTTTAAAAAAACAATAAACTTTCTTAGTTTCAACACTTAATATGTTGTCTTTGTACTGTTTTCAATGAAATATGGGGTTTAATGATTTGAAAAGGGGACCGGAGGGTGTGTGCCAACTATCGGGGTATCTCACTGCTTAGCCTTCCTAGGAAAGTTTATGCCATGGTGCTGGAAAGAAGACTCCAATCGATAGTCGAACCTCAGATTGAGAAGGAACAATGCGGATTCCGTCCCGGCCGTGGAATAATGGACCAGATTTTCACCCTTTCACAGATTGTTGAGGGGGCATGGGAGTTTGCCAACTCAGTCTACATGTGTTTTGTGGACTTGGAGAAGGCTTACGACCGTGTTCCCCAAGATATCTTGTGGGAGGTCCTCCAGTATGGGGTGCTGGCATTAAGTCAAGCTCGTTCAGTGTTAGTGTTGGTCTCCACCAAGGTTGTGCCTTCTCTCCGCTCCTGTTCGTGATATTCATGAACAGGGTGTCAAGGTGTAGCCGAGCTCAGGAGGGCATTATGTGTGGAGGCTGTAGGGTGGCGTCTCTGCTATTTTCAGATGATGATGTTCTTTTGGCTGGATCGCATGGATGCCTCCAGCGCTCACTGGAGCAGTTTGCAGCTGAGTGTGAAGTGGTTGGTATGTGGATCAGCACCTCAAAGTCTGAGTCCATGGTCCTAGCCCGGAAAAGGATGGCATGCCCACTCCAGGTAAGGGGAGAAGACCTGCCCCAGGTGGAGGAGTTTAAGTATCTCTTGCTCACGAGTGATGAGAAGAGGGATCGTGAGATTGGCCGCAGGCTGGGACAGGCGGCAGCAGTAATGCAGTCGCTGTACTGGGCTGTAGTGGTGAAGAGGGGGCTGAGCCATAAGGCAAAGCTCTCTGTTTACCGGTCGGTCTACATCCCGACCCTCACCTATGGTTATGAGCTGTGGGTAATGACCGAAAGAATGAGATCGCGAATACAAGCGGCGGAAATGAGCTTTCTTCTCAGGGCTACACTGTACTTGATAAGGTGAGTAGCTTGGTCATCCGGGAGGAACTCGGAGTAAAGCCGCTACTCCTCCGCATTGAGAAGAGCCAGTTGAGGTGGTTTGGGCATCTGATCCAGATGCCCCCTGGACACCTCCCGGTGGGGGTGTACCAGGCACGGCCCACTGAGACGAAACCCCGGGGTCGTCCTAGGACCCACTGGAGGGATTATATCTCCAAGTTGGCCTGAGAGCGGCTTGGGGTCCCCCAGAATGAGGTGGAGGAAGTTGCAGGGGACAGGGTCATCTGGGATTCTCTGCTCTCCCAACTGCTACCGCGACCCTATCTGGATTAAGCGGTTAATTATGATGAAGGAATGAATGAATGAACGATTTGAAAATCATTGCATTCTGTTTTTGTTTACATTTTGCAGTGTCCCAACTTCTTTGGAAACAGGGTTGTGTGTTGGCTACATATATTTGGTTTTCTTTTTCTAACTGAGTGCCAGGGCTGCACAATACAGACATAAAATGCGATGTTTGATAAACCTGTTGGATATAATGAGGACAGTATGAGAGGCAGTAGTAAATAGTTAAATACTATACCTCTGACTGGATGTGCTGCAAGTACTGACTCTTTTTTTGTTGTTGTGTGAACAGAAATCTAACTAACTTCTCCTTTAAGCAAATTTAAATTTAAGAACCATTAACTTAAAGCTCCTTTAAGTTAATGGTGCCCTCTTGGGAGGGATTTGTAGTGTGTGAAACATAAGTGAGTTCCAGGAGGTGTTTCAATCTCAAGCAGTCAAGATTCCCTGAACAGCTGTTTCTGCAGTCAGGCTGCAAATACGAATAATGTGTAGATTTATTTTTTAAATATAGGTATATGTATATATACCTATATATATTACCCTTGATATGATGCTTTTTACCACTGAGAGTGAGCATAGTCATCACGTTTTAAGCATTTTTACAGGCTAGTTGTTTTTGGGCTGTGTACCTTTGTCTTTTGTACCTGGCTGTTTAGTCTAATATTTAAGTTACTTGCTTTGCCTGTGGGAGATCAGGGTTTAAACCCAGTGAAACTTTTTTTGGGCTTCTATTGCCACGTTCCTGCCAATCTAGATAACATGTGAGATAATTTCTGTCATTGCTGCCCTTAACAATGTGTTCCTCGTGATACCAATAAAAATACGATTTATCGTGCATCCCTATTGAGTGCATGACGTCTTTAATGATGTGTACATGTCCAATTGTTTTAGAGCCAACAGTGGACGTGTTCCAGCCTTCCTCTAAAGATGGCTTTAATCTTGGCATACAGCTTAAGAGGTAAACATCTTTAATACAATTTATCCCTGTCAGTTTATTAACGAGCACCTGAGATATTAGTATTACTTGACTTCATTAGTTTATTGAGGTTGTGATTTCTTATCATTATTAGGGTTATTATTGTTTTGTTATTAATGGTAAATGTTTATTTCTTTCTTGCTAGAATTCTTTCCTCATTCATATCTAATCAATGGAAGCACCTCAGCAATGAATTTCTGAGAGCTCAGCAGAAGAAGAGACACAGCTGGTTCAAGGCTGGAGGAACAATCAAAAAGTTCCGCGCCGGCCTCAGCATCTTCACACCAATAGCCAAGTACAGTTTCAACTCATTGTTCTTAAAGATCAACACTATTATAGTACATTCAAGGGATCTCATACAAAACTTTTTAAATGAGATCTCTTGAATGTACACTAGCAGTCAAAAAGAATGAATCAGATTTATATATGTCATATTTACTTGATGTTTAGTAGCTGTTTTTGTTGTGCTTGAAGGCAAATATCACACAAAAAAAATGTGTAGAGAAGACAAATTCAATAACAATGGATTGTCTAATTATTTGATAATAAGTTAATAATAAGAATTTTATAAGATAATAATAAGAATAAATACATTTATTCTGTGATTAATTAATTAATATCACTGCTTTACAGCCATTACGCACATTAAACTCACTGAAGGTAAAAACATATATAAAAACTGTAAATCCCTGAAGTTCATTTAAAAAAAAAATAATTAATGTAAGAAAAGGTAGTGTGAGGTGGTCATCAAGACTGGAGAAGGATTAGTGAGGATATCTACAATATCGGTTTCTCTCTGTTTCTGCAGGTGCCCCAATGTTCCTCTGATCCAGGGCCCCGGGGAGAAGGGCAGGGCTTCCGGGCCGGAGCCAAGAGTGACTCGGCTGATGAACCGCTCAGTCTCCTGCACAATGAAGGTGCCCAAAGGAGAGTTACTCACTTACGCGCCTAACGGACAGGTGAGATTATTAAAACTAAATTCTGTAAATTAATGACACTGTACAAAAACGGTTTCTCACATTATAGCATAATGGCATTATAGCTGTCAGTAATGGCTGTTGAATTATGACATTATGCTAGATGCAAATGTTTACTAAAGGACACATGCTAGCTACATATTTCTATACGAGCACATGTAAAGAACACAAAGCCTTTCGTTTTATGATTGACTCTGGGCCTGGTTTGGAGTCTGTTGTTAATAGTGGTATGGTGCGTACATGCATATAACGTGTGCCATCTTGCTTGGGATGTTTCTTCAGAGTGTGGTAGTCCCTGGCTCCAGGTCCACAGTGCAGATCACCACCAAGCAGCTCATTGAGCTCTTCTTCTCTTCACAAGCTCTCCTCCACTGCAAGAGTATACCTACTCTGGAATATGGCTTTCTTGTACAGGTAAATTATAGATTTTTTTCTGTTATATGCATGTACATATGCATGTACGTTTAATGCAGTAAATCTGTCTCTTTAAATCTAGATCATGAAATACTCAGAGCAGAGAATTCCCACTCTGAATGAGTACTGTGTAGTCTGTGATGAGCAGCACGTCTTTCAGAACAGCTCCATGCTCAAGGTACCCACCTTTGAAAGAAATTTACAGTTGTAATTTTGTATTCTAACTGATTTATTAATCCCTACCGCTACATTGATTAAATATGAAAACTGGAGATTGAAGCTCTTTTATGTCCTTTATATCTTTGTACAGTGTGTTCAGAATTATCCATGTATTTTCAGCTACAATGCAATATATCTTTTTATTAAGTAGCACTGCTGCTCCAAATTAATTCATAATTGGTCCGTAATTGGTGTCTGATGAGTTACCTGACTTTCTTTTGCTGTTTTAGCAAACCACGTCATTTTTGTTTGCACACAGTTGTTGTGGTGTTCACAATTATTAAGCAAAGCTTGAAAATGGGCAGAAAAAGAGATCTTACAGCAGAAGAAAAGAAGGTAGTGAAAGCTGTATCTGAAAACTATGGAGAACCAGATTTGCCAAATTGAAAAATAAATAAAATAAAAAAAAATGACTTAGTAAATTAATATATGAAGTAGAATTGCAAAGAATAATGATGACAAATCTAAAAGTAAATAAATATACATAACAATTAATATATTAATAAATAAAATCTTACATAAATGAATATGTCTGCATATATATATATATATATATATATATATATATATATCTGCATTTATTTATGTCTATTTCGTAATTTCCCCTTCTGACTAATTTTTGTATTTATTTATTAATTAAGCTACAATGCAATATATCTAATTAATTTTATTATTTATGTTTCTTTATTAACATTTTTCTGTTTTTCTATTAATTTATTTTATTAATTTATTTCCATAACTATTAATTTCTATATTTATTTATTTCTCTATTTATTTTTGTATTTCCTTGTCCTTATGCTAATAAAGGGGCTGTCAGTGAATGATGTCACAGCGTCTTAATATTCCTATTGGTTGATCGATGTCAGTTTCTGTAGATCGATTGTACATGTCTTGCTCTCTCAGCTGTAACTAAGGACACGACAGTACCGTAATGGCTTCTTACAGCAGCAGACAGTCAGAGATCTGAGAGTCTCGGCTGATCTGACTGAAAATGAAGGTCCGGATTATGTACTCTTCCGTCTGGAGGCTGGGGGGACAGTTTCTCCATTTTGCTGCCTCTGCTGATTCAGAGGTCGACCACGTAGTGTTCAGAACTTTGAAGGAGGTGGTTCATCGTCTTTTTCTGTAAAATTCAGATCAAACTCAGACATTTGGACGCCCTTCTCACATACTGCCTGTGGAAGCCATCGACAGTTATTTGTCGGCAGGTTTGTCTGTCCGTGCAGTTCTTTATGGAGTGAAAGAACAGTTTAATTAGCTCTTCTCCTCCTGGTCTTGATTGCTAAGCCTCATTATCATATGAACGAAGAAATACAGAAATAAATAAATGAATTAATGAAAAAATAAATTAATTAATGAAAAAAAATAAATTAATACATGAATCAATGAATAAAGTGAACAATTGTTAAAAATATAGATATGGAAAAAATATAAAAATGGCATTAATAAAACAATAAATAATACAGAAATAAATGAATTGAGAAATATATAACTGCAGAAATTTTCAATTTGGCAAATCTGGTCCTCCATAGAAAACGCCTCAACACTGGAAATATCAAAGTTAATTTAACGTGATCATCGCACATTAAGAAAGTTTCTGCAGAAAACTGAAGGTGGTCGGAAGAAACGTGTGGAATGCAGTTCTTGGAAACTTAAAGCTCGGAATCTCTGTAGAATAAAAAGACCGGAAAAAGAATGAAAAAACATCTGTGTCTACCAGCAAGAAAATGTTTGAAGCCTGTGGATTGAGAGAAATGAGGAAAACAACTCGCTGTAAAGTTTTCAATGATATAGCAAAAGATGAAAAAAATGCCCCAGTTAACAAAAAAACATAGAGAAATGAGAATAAAATAGGCTAAAAATACATGAAGACTAAATTCTCAAAGGTAATATTTACTGACCAAAGCCATGCAACATAATAGTTTAGACCATAGACCACATGGTTTGGCTAGTGGCTGGGTCATGAATGGCAACAACAAGGCGGTGGTGTTGTCATGTCATAGGTGTCATCAATGATGAACTTATTGGCTCTTTTTGTGTGCAAGATGGAGTGAAACTGAACTCAGAGGGTTACTGCACCTTGTTGAAGCAACAGTTCTTGCCATGGAGGAAGGGTTGTAATGCAAGAGTAAGGAAAACACTTATGTTCATGCAAGACAATTGCCCCATCTCATGCTTCCCACTCGTGAATGGTTCAAGAAAAAGGGGTTTGCTGATGACCAGATTATGGAGTGGCCTACTTCCTCACCTCACTTGAAACTATTGAAAATTTCTGGGCAATTCTGAAGCAGCAAGTTTATTCAGGTGGACATCAGTGTCAGCCCAAAGATGCTCTCTGGAGGGCAATCAGTGATGCTGCAAAAAGTTTCAGCAAAGACACAGTAAAAAAAAACCTCACCAGTTCTGTAGATGAGAGTCTTTTGACTGTTTTTGAAAGGAAAAGATCCTACATGATATATTTGAACATTATATTCGATTTGTGAAATATTATTTTCATCTTGTTTGAAAATTGTCTTATTTTTATGACATTTGCATAACTTAACATAAATCTTGCTGAATTTCCACATTAGCTGACATTGTTTTTATGCATTGTCTGGCATAATAACTGTGAACCGTGATTTTTTTTTGTTGAGTTTTAAAAATAGGAGAATACACAAAACGGTGCCAAAACTCTGTGAAAACTGGCACTTGCATGATCATTCTGAACACACGGTATTTGACTATGTTTTGTTTGTAGTTTTTAATAACGTGTGCCTTGTGCTGTTATGAAGGTAAAGGCAAATGGACAGTAAATCAGACAGAGTATTTAGATTCTACAGAGTCTAAATATTACATTTAATTCAAAAACAATTTTCAGTTCCATACGTAATCAGTTTTAGCACCCATGAGCCAATAATGATACTTGTTTTAAAGTTGTAGACTGCTGATTGGCTATGTAACTTGCACTCTGCATGCATGTTATTAATGTCTTCACTTGTTGATTAGTCTGTAGTCAGTTACAGTCTGTAAATATGCCCATGTCCAGCATCTCACATTCATTTCTGTTTGTAATTTAAAAGAAAGTTTTTAAAAATATTTTTCAGCAGGCAGTTTCAAAATCAATGTATGGGTATTAGTATCAAGACTGATACTGGAAAATTATAAACAATGCCAAGCCCTATGTGCATGCAGTGTAGTTAGGTTATATTTGCACACTTTATCCTTAGATGTTTAGCACTGTGTGAAAGTCATAGACCACTCTTCATGTATTTAATTTACAGTCAACACAGCCATTGAATACAAGTAATTCATTTTTCAGTGTAACGTGGCAGAATAACTCAGACGCTTGCGGTTAAAAAGAAAAAAAAGAGAGTGAGGCTTTAATGTTTGAGTCGTAATCCAAAATCGTGGTCAAAAAACAGGCAAAGGTCAAATCCAGCAGAGGCAAGCTACACGAATAGACAAACATAAGGCGAACAAAGTCCAAAGGTCAAAGGCAAAAAGGGCAAAAGTCAAAAACAGCAAACAGAGTCGAAAACCGGAAAATCACAACAGACAGAAGAAAATACCGCTCAGTAGCTCTTGAATAAGAGGCAATACCTCACATTGAACTAGACTAAAAGCCCGGGCTTTATACTAAACTAATTATATGAGAACAGGTGTAACCAGTTAATACTCAGGCGACAGAGAGCGGTGATTGGAGCGAGGTGGAGGGCTGAGAATCATGTGATTCCCCTGGGGGTTCGGGGAAATGGAGTCCCTAGAGACCTTGGAGCCTGAAGGATGTGTGACATTCAGTGTCAGGAAAAAGCAGAAAATATATGTTTAACAGACAATTAAACAGAATCCTCAACAACTAATATCAACATTTTTCAGTATTTAGTGTGTCAACTCTTTGGCTTTAATACAGCTTCCATTTGTCTGCAGGGATACTTTTCCACACTTCCAGTTCAGTCTTAGAAGTTGGTGGCATTTTCTGCTTCTTGTTATGCCAGTTGCAAATGTAAACTCATCAGTCTGTTAAACCTTACTCCATATCTCAGATGTCTAGGTTCAGTGTTCTAGTGCACATTGTCTCCTTTTTTCACTATGTTTGGTCTTAGACATTGTTTTTAATGGCCGTTTTGAAAGGAAATTAAATGAATGAAGAGTGGCTCTTGCACAGTACTGTTTGTTAGAGATGGTGGTATTTTTTAAATTATTTTGTCTGTCTTTGCAGCCTGCAGTGTGCACAAGAGAACTGTGTGTGTTCTCTTTCTACACACTAGGAGTTATGTCAGGAGCTGTTGAGGATGTGGCAACAGGAGCAGAGGTAGCACGTGCACACACACACACACACACACACACACACACACACACACACACACACACACACATACTCGGATACTAATAAACCCTAAAATGTTTTTGATGTGTCCTACTGTCTTCATGAAACTCTTCCTAACAGATGTTGGTGACAGTGTGTTGACTTTTGAACAGGTAGTTGACTTGCTGGTGGCAATGTGCAGAGCTGCCCTGGAGTCTTCCCGTAAAAGCATTATCTTTGATCCTTATCCATCTGTGGTTGACCCATTCGACCCCAAAGCTTTGGCGTTTAACCCTAAGGTACAGGATGTGAACTGACATCATGACATCATGATAGTATGACAGTTTACATAAGACTAATAAAGCCAAATTGATCTTAGTCTTTCAATCTATAATTCATGCTGATCTCTCATGTCACCATGCCTGCTTTTTCTTAATCTGCTGACAGAAAAGAAGCTATGATAGGCTGCAGAAAGCACTGGACGGCATCATGTCTATACGAGAAATAACACAAGTAAGCAGTGCATGGAACAGTGACAGCATAACATATTTATCACTGCCTTTTGTTTTGAACCAAAGACTGATATCATACTGCCATGTCCTTACAGGGCTCATATGTAGAGATAAAGAAACAGATGGACAAGTTAGATCCACTTGCACATCCTCTCTTACAGTGGTGAGTGATACTTGATGAATAGTGGCATCTGTCAGCATGATTTTGCCTTTAAAGCCCCAGTGGTATGTGCTTCTTGAGCTAATCAAGTTGCTCCAGGCATTTCTTTTTCACAATTTGTGATTCTTTGTCCAAGAACATTAATTTTTATGCTAGACCTGTCATAATTGTTACATAATTGCCTAATTGCAATTATTTCCGTTGATTGTGATTGTGAATTGGGTGCATTTTCATCATTTGAGGCAAATACATGCAAATAAAAGAAAGCAGAAAACACATTTATTGAAACCGTCATGGGGCTTATGAAAACAACAAAATTTCTAACTTCTGTCTGGTGGCTGGCGCTATAACATTTTAGAGGGCAGCAATGAGTAATGTTTTTTTATTTGAGCTCAAGCTGTGTCTGTTTTTAGTTGGAAGCTACAAAGTATCAGCTGATTGGAATCAAGATAGCTAATCAGTCAATTTAGTCACCTTAAGCTTGTACTTAGTTACATACAAAAAACAATAAACGACAACCAAATTGTTAATTGCAATTACATATTCACAATTACATGATTGTGACAGACCTAACTGACACCTACTTTGCTTTATAACTTTATAGTATATTCATAAATTGAGCTGAACCCTGTAAAGGCTAGCTCCAACGGTCTATGAATGGCTGTTGTTAAATAGGCACGTTTGTAAAAAGGCAAATATTAAGCCATTGTTAAAAAGTCACATTATGTTTTTAGTAAGAATAATTTTTTTCCTCTCTTTACTTTGCAGGATTATATCCAGCAATAGATCACATATTGTCAAGCTACCCGTAAGCAGGGTGAGGATATTTGTCACACCGCAGTGTTGCACCCCTCTAGTTATTTCCAATTATTAGACAAACAAAGCCTATGAGAGAATTTATTTTCCTCTTTTTTTCTCTTTCTTTTGATAGCAACTCAAGTTCATGCACACTACCCACCAGTTCTTGTTGCTCAGTAGCCCTCCTGCCAAAGAAGCTCGATTCCGCACAGCTAGGAAACTATACGGCAGCACTTTTGCCTTTCAGTGGGTATATTCCTATGAAACCTGTCACCTAAAACTCACTTCGTGTTGTAATTTGAATTTTTGTTGTATGCTGCATTTTCTGCGTGGTTTGATGTTTATCTCTCACTTTCTGTCCATGCCAATGTATACCAGTGGTTCCCATATAGAAAACTGGCATTCTATTCTACGAAATGGACTAGTTAATGCCTCCTACACAAAGCTGCAGGTACAGTATATCTTACTTTGACTTTTTGAACAGATAATATGGGTGTACTGAACAATCACCTGATGGCCAGAAATCTGCAGATTATGTGTGTTGGTGAATGTGCATTCCTGTTCTCTCTAACACAAGCTGCATGGGGCAGCCTATGGGAAGGGCATCTACCTCAGCCCCATCTCAAGTATCTCTTTTGGATACTCAGGTAGGAGAAACTTTGCCTGTGGCTACACATCAGATCTGCTCTGTGTACTTAAATGAACAGTTTGGCCAAAAATAATACCATGGAGACAAACAGAAGGTAGTAGGTAGTCTGAAAGTATGTTCTTATTGCTTGCTCAAAATCAGTTGATCAGGCTTTTTTCAAATATAAAAATCTCCTCCTATAAAACGTTTATACAACTCAGACTCAGTATTATATAAATATAATACTGAGTTGTACCAAAAAGATTGAAGTGAATTGAGCTGTGATGAAATCTGAGATTTCATTATGCATTGAATCTTTTGTCAGAGGTCAGATATTTACACGCTTGGTGCTGACTGTATAGTGCTGTGTAGAGCTAACTGCATTTTTGGTTGGACTGTGTATTTAAAAATATGGATGAGCTGTGATTTATGCCTGCAGTTGTAGTGCCATTTGGATTGTTCTATTGTATATCATTTATTTTGGCTCCCCCTCCTGGCTTCCACTGATATTGCATCTTGCATATGTTCAGCTTGACACTGGACAGCTCTTAAGTCTGGGATGTGTTTGTTTTTGTTTAGGAATGGGGAAAGGACAGCACCACATGCCCACAAAAGAGGAGCTAGTACAGCACTACAACAGAGTTAACACCATCTCACAGGTATGACCATTTATGTAGATACTATAGCTCAGTGCAGTGTTTTCTTTGTTCTAGAAAATGAATTGACTTATTGGTTAAATTACTAGTGTTTTGGACTAAAGGGACTAAAAGCTAATAAGTGGTTTTACATTTCCTTTTGTACTATTTGATTTCTCCCTTATTGCAGAGTCACCCAGTGCAGTCAAGGTTTCTTCAGAGTCGGAATCTAAACTGTGTGGCTCTTTGTGAGGGTAAGACAAGAAAGGCTATCATTTTGTCTTCTTACCAAATCAGTATTAGTTCTAATTAGTCCTAGTATTTCCAGTCAAAACAGTCATTAAGTACAAGGTATTCATTTTTCAGTGTTAAAAAACACAGAAAACATAACAGAAAAATACACAAAACCTCCAACACTAAGTATATTTCAAATCTATCAGTATTTAATTTGTCCACTCTTTACTTGCTTGCACTCTACTGCCACTTTAACTCCTCCATCCTTCCAATCTTAAAACCAACGAGTTACAATTGTGTCCTCCCAACAAAAGCTGTTCCCACTGTCAGTTCTCACTGACATTCTGTCCTCCTTCAAACAGACACTGACATTCACACAAGCAACTACACAAACACACCTTAGCTGCCCTGAACATTTCTTTCTCATGTGTATCTAAAATGGTTAAATGAGGTATCTCTGAGGAAATTAGACCATGTGCATAAGGAAAGGGAAAGTCAGAGGAAAATAAAGGAAAAACAAAACTTTCCAAAACTCAATCTCTAAAAATGATACAATGTTATTGAGAAAATGAGAATCTTAACAACCGTGCAAGACCTGGTAGATGTTCAAAACTGTCACCATTAGATAAACAGCACTTAAAGCTTTTATTTTTGAGAGAGAGGAGAAAATCAAATTCCACTATTACTTCAGATCTGAAAAAATCCACAGGTGTTACTGTCCATTCTTCCACTGTGAGAAGACAACTTAACACCATGAGTCTGAAAGGATGTGTAGCTGGCAATAAGCCCTTACTGAGAAAAGGAAACAGACAAAAAAGAAGAAAAAAACACAAAAACTGGACACCTGAGATGTGGAGTAAGGTTTTTTGGACTGACGAGTCTAAATCTGTAATTGGGATTATTTGGATTGTGAGAAGCAGAAAATGCAATGAACTTCTAAAGACTGAACTTTGGAGGTGTGAATAAATATCCCTGCAGATTTCTGGAAAAACTAAATGCAAGTCTCCTGAAAGGAATGGAAGCTGTAATAAAGGCAAAGAGTGAAAACTCTAAATATTGAAAAAAAATATGTTTAGTTGTTGAGGCTTCTTTTCTGTTAAATATATGTATATGAATATATTCTCTTTTTTCCTGACACTGAAAAATGAATAACTTGTGCTTAATGGCTGTTAGAATAAAACTGCATATTTGTTTACTTGTTGTTTATATACAGTAATAACATCCAAAGACCTCCAGAAACATGGAAACATATGGGTGTGCCCCGTGCCTGACCATGTCTGCACACGCTTCTTTTTTGTGTGAGTTACATTTTAATATCCAGCTATATTTTAATACTCTGTAGACAAATAACCTAAATGATTACAGTTCCACAAACTGTAATCATACTCACTGTCCTGTCTGTGTTGCACAGGTATGAGGATGGTCAGGTAGGAGATGCCAACATTAACACACAGGAGCCCCGAATTCAGAGGGAGATTTTGCGAGTGATTGGGACCCAGTCAAGTTGAAAGCAATGCTCTGACACTGTGACAGATTCAAATCTGAGCAAAGAGTGAAATTACCCCAAGGTTACTTGTCATCTTGACGTTACTGTGGCCAAATTACAAGGCGGATATGACAGAGCAATCAATTTTGAGAGGGTTTTATTTAATGAGGGGAAAGTTGTTGTGTTTTTTTGTATTTTTTCTCTTCATATGTTCTGTGTTTTACGTATGTCCTCTGTGTCATTACAAATCAATGAATCAGTGGTGCAGAGGCAGTCATAAGTCCCTCCCTTACTTCCACTGGGGGGCTCTGTTGCCAAGTAAAAGCACGAATAATTCCAATGCACAAGTCAGCTTTATTTTCTTTTCCCATGGTTCTGATAACTCCAACCCAAGATGTCAGTTGAATTTGATAAAAAGGTGCTACAAAAGACATCAGCGTGAAAAGGGTGCTGAAGTTTGTATTTCTTGCAGAGGCCTGCTAACCACACTACAGTTATTATTTATAATAATGACGAAAATATGTTCATAAATATGTTCCAGTATTATTTGGGTGACTATTTGGGTGTATTCTTTCTAAATTGACATCAAGTGCTGTTTGTTTTCTGATTACTTCATTCTAACAGTTTAATCTCAGCAGAATGCTGTGATTTCCCTTGAGCCTTTTTCTTCCTGCTTTAATTTTGTCACTGCCCTTTGTAACAAGCTTTTTCTATTTTTGAAGCCAGTTTAAGTGAAGCAGATGATTCAAGTCACATTCCTGAAGGGTTCATGTTCTGGAGATGGTCTGTGTTTTTAATGATGATGAAGATGATGAACTAGATAGCAGAGGAACCGTCTTCTGCAGGTTACGATAATCACTGAAACCTGCTGCACACTTCATCATAATTGTTCAGAAGCTGAAACTTATGCAATATCTGTAGCATCAAACACCAACCACTCAAAACCTTAATCTGGACTGTGCAGCAAACAGACATGCAGTGTATGTGTCATCTTAGCATTCTCTTGGTGGATATGGACATACAGTGAGATTAATAATCATGTGCTTTGCCTCTGAGGTGAGGCTGTGTTTGTTGGATATGGCCCACATTTGTATGAAAACTCTTTTTTTCAATAAAATAAGAGCATGATACTGAAAATGACATCTCACTTGTGTTAGGTTTTGTGAATATTTTACACATAGCTGGTTAAGCTGTGAATGGTCCCAGAAGGTTTGTCCTTCCTCAGCATGACCAATGCGGTTTGGGCTCAATTAGGCTTTTCCTGAGGCAGAAACACATCGTTTATAACAGTGCGTTACCCCCATATGAGCTCCACATCTGCCTCCTCCTCCTCCTTCTCCTCTACAAACCACTTCCACCCACTAGGGCAAATTTGGGTGGTGGGGGGGTCCTCTGTTGACTTATGTCATAACAGTTATGAATAGTACTTCCTTTTTCTCCCTAATTATCATCATGTTCATCATTATTGCAGTATTATTGCAGTGTAAAATATTTATAACAACATGCAGATCAGAATAAGAATTGTAGTAACCCAAAAAATGTTATTTTATTTTATTCTTTTATAAGCAGTTCTTCAGACTTTTGAACATCCCTAGTTTTGAGTAGTTTTTATTTACTCCTTTCACTGTATATGAGGGCCCCGACATTTTGATGGATGTCCTTTTTTCCTAGGTAGTTTCCTTTCTTTCTCCTATAGAATAACCAATAGGTGACAAAACACAAAAAAATTGTTTCTGAAAGCATGAAAATGATCTCATTATTTAATAGAACATGTGAATAATCATACAAGAAGCTTTTTCTCTGTGCTCTGCTGTTAAATGATAGAATACCATAGGAAGGGACCAAATCTAATTAGGCTACCATAACTGTATCTAATGTGAATATAACCTCATATCCTTAAAGATGATGTCCATAGGATTAATATAGCAAACCCAGCTAGAAATCTAAAAACTAGTTACTTGTTATTACCAGCCTACCTCTGAATGCGTTCTCTTTTGCTTTACCACTACAAATCAAGGTTGAACAGACTTCATTAAATTTGCTGCTAAGGGTGTTAACACCCCATCAGAAATTCTTTCCAGTAGTCCCACAGGGGAAATTGCATGTTGAGAGTGGAAGTAAAGCATGAATGAACATCGTTCCAGTTTTTCATCAGCGACAAATTGCTTCAGTAAGGCTCAGAATTATTATTAAGCAAATGTTTTGGTACAGTAGGGAAAATAGAGCTGAAAAGTACAGATGACATTGCAGAGATGACAGTCTTGTACATCAGTATTAGAAAAATACAATATTTGTATTTTTCTAATACTGAACCCTTTAAAGCTGTCTTGGCATAAAATGTTAGGTTTCCTGTATAGTAAGAAGTATACAGTGCTTCTTTTCACTTTTTAACTTCAAATGTGTCTTTAATGAAAGTTTCAAGTGACGCTCCACTTAGAAGATTAATGCCATTAAACTAACTCAATTTTGACTTCATTTCCACAGGGCACTGCAATCTGCCATGCTTCCCTTTGAGACCTAATTTCCTTTTAATTAAATTAATAAGAGTTCTAGAGAAAGCCACTAGAGAGGGCCTGCGGCAGAGCCTCTGTCGTCTGCCAGATAACAACTGACTGTGTGCTGTCTGTAGCACTTGATAAAGAAACTGAAACAGTGGTTGTTAAAATAGGATGCTTTTAATCTACAGTGATGTATTAGTATTAGTAAAATAACAACAACAAAATAAGGGTTTAGAAGTGCTTTGTGCTATGTAAGTATTTGAGTAGTACACTTACTATAAATTTCTGTAAGACTGTAAGATGTTCCAAATGAAGAGTTTCATTCCAAAATGCCATATATCTAATTGTAACAATACTGGATATAACACATTTTTGAAAACAATAACAATAAAGGTTATATACCTTTACGTAAGATAGCATTGTATGTATAAAGCCCAGTCCCTATACCCTGCATCATGAAAGAACTATAATGGCACTTCAAATATTTATATTTATTATTTGTTTGTTTTCTAACCAGGGTAATCACTTTGAGCCCTGGCCAAGAAGGCAGTACACAAAAAAAAAATTGGTGGAGGCCAACCACTCATTTCATAAAGTTCACAGTGAGGAGTTGAATTTCTAGCACCTGTTATAAATCTTAATACAGAATGATGAACAGAGTCCAGTGAATGTACCGTCTTTGAAGTATGCCTACAAAAAATATCACCATAATCTAAATAGGTTAAAAGGTAGCTTCCGCTGGTTTTCTCATGCCTGTCGAGTAACGCAAAATAATAATATAACAGTAATAATTAAACCTAAATAAATCCCAATTTTAACTTCTTTATTAATTGATCAACATGCAAGACAGGTTATCATCTAACATAAAACCCAAGTATTTATAAGATGAAACTATTTCTACTGGTCTGCCCAGCTGTGTGCAAATTTTTGGCAAAGATGATCTCTGTATCAAGAGTAACATATATTTTGTTTTTTGATCATTATGAACTAGAGAGCCTTAGAGAGAATAATCAAAAAATGCTTCCTGTAAATTCAAGTAAGCCTCTGCTGGTGATGGAAAGGAACAATAGATAATGGTATTATCTGCATAAGTGCATATCAGCATTTAAAACATTATTGCACATCATTAATGTATATTGTGAACAACATAGGCCCCAAAAGGGAACGTTGTGGCACCCCGGTTCCAATAGCAAGCTTCTCAGACACAAAAAAAACATCAAAATGCACAAGCTGACATCTGTTACTTTAGTTATTTCTGTACCAGCATATAAATAACATTGTCAGACAACCCAGTACTAGCCACTCAGGACAATAATAATCTTGAGATTAACAGTGTCAAAATCAATTGATACATCTATGAATAGTGTGGCACATGATTTTCTACTATGAAGAGCATTAATTATGTCATTGAGTACTTTTGTGATGGGTAAGTTCAGATAAATCATCTGAAAACCAAGGATCATTCCATCCCACCCATGTTGAAGCGTTCTCTCTTCTCTCCTCTGTTATAATATATTTAATCCATCTTTCGTCTACACTATAGTGTTCTAGCACTCAAAGTCAGAATCAAAGTCAATCTCATTGTCATTCCTTCTCAAAACAGACATGAGTGAGGGGCCAAATATAGTTCCTTTAGGACACCTGCTACAACGAATACAGTAAATACAATATATACAAACAATAAACTATACAAACTCTCTAAAATAGACTAAACAACTGTAGGCACAGGACCCATCAGAGACTAAACTAAACAGTGGACAATAGGGTGGGACAAGATAAAATGACTTAAAACGTTTTTGAGTAGGGTGGGTTATCCTCAATGTATCCTAAATGTCCTATAATTATTACACACTGTTAATGCTAAGCTAATAATAGTAGTAGTCGTAGCAGCATGTAATGAGATGCAGTGATATGGGAATTTTTGGCCAATGCCAGTGTTTTTATTTTCATTTCTAATTTAGAGATTGGGACTCAATCAACTTGTGCATTAATATTAGCTTGTATTTCTATGTAGTTACAAATGCAGTAAAATTAATAAAATGCAGATATTTAGCACCAGCGAAGAAGACAACATGGGAAACATGGAGCTTTAAAGGCGAATGCTCTTTTATTGAACGGGCAGCAAGGGAGAACCGGCGCTCAGCACTAACCAAGCTGCTGGGATAGCGGGCAGGTTACCAACAGTTCTCCTCCATGATAGACACCAACCACCCCACAGCCCAACACAAAATAGCACAACCAACAAGCATGGCACTTTCCGAGAGCCTCTTTGTATGGCCACTTTACATGGACACATCTCACACACACTTACAGCAGTGCGGACAGTGTAAGGACGCCACAATCTGTTACATTCTGCAAATAAACAGTAATTGTGCATTAAAATGTTCAGAATTTCTCTGTAGAGGATGTGTGAACTTATCTTCACTTAGAACAAACAACAAAACATGTAATTTGACCAGGAGCACCCAAACTTTTGCATACTACTGTACATCAAAGATCAGTTTGAAATATCAGCTAAATCAAACCTGCTGTTTGATGCCAGTCATTTTTAAGCAACTTTCTGCTGATACCGATATTATTTTACGATATTATCATGTATCCCTAGTGATGTAAAGTGACTGTGTGCAGTAGATGGGGCGCGAGTCCACTATGAATCCATAAAGTGAGGCATTGACTTTACTTGATTCAAATGTATATACATTTATATATACAATTTCATTTTCAGATGAACAGATTGTGTTAAATCAGCACAATTATTGCCAAAATTACATACATTGAAATACAATATTGTGTTGATGTAATATATTTCACTCATATGGAAATGATGTACACATTTGAAGCAAGTCAATTCATTACATCACTTTTTTTCCAGTGTGTCTGACCTTATTTTCTGCGTGCGTGTGCTCGATGCTTCCTCTAGCATACAGGCGGTGGATTCTGTGAAGCAGAACTGCAGAACTGTGTGCCCTTCTATTCTCTGATTGAAATCATCGCCTCAAGGCTCGAAATGCTACGAGGCCATACGGCTCCGACAGTGGGAGAGGAGGATACGAAAATAGAACTGGCAGACGGGACAAAATTTGTCTGTATTTTTTTTTTTTTTGTATGTCACAAAAGAATGTGAAAAAAGTTTCTTCTTTGCATATAAACGCTGGCCATACATTTCAAAGACAGATGTTTCACAGCTGAAAATTGTTTCCTGGCTGTGTTGTACCTTCATGCTTGGCTGCTTCTGTATTTGAACTCTCTTAATCAGTCACGCATGTTAATCATTTGCAGACACACACAGATTGACAGGGGCTCATCAACACGACCCACTTAAAGGGGAATTCAATGAAGCTTGAAGAATGTGATGTTATTTGATGGGGAAAGGGTTTAATGGTAGAAACAGAGCGCCTATCCCTTTAAGAGGTCCCAATGTCTCTCTCCAATCCCCCCTCCTGCCCCCTGTCCCTCACAGCCATTCACATGCTTCTTTAATGCATTTTGGTGAACTGTGTTCATCCCACATGCAGTCTGCCTCTGTGAGAGGACACTTTGAACATGAACACAGTTACTGAAGACTGGGACTAAGCCAGCTCTAAGACAGACTTTGACAATCCAACATGATGGCCATGTGACATCTATATGCTGAAAAGGTAAATATATCTTCTCAAGATAAACTTTACTTGGTATTAAAGCCTGTGATTTTGTAATGAGTGACTTCATTTTTTAGCAAGTGTTAAATGAGTTCAGTACACCCTGAATTATTGTGTGAAATGACTTGTGTTTGAAATGTGACACTCATCTGTAATTAATTAAAAGATCGTATAATTAGCCTGCCAGAGCATCTAAGCCAGAACATTTATCTGTCAATCATCTTTAATCTCTTTATTCTCTGTTGATGTAACTGTCCTCTGAGAGAAATTGAAGCACGCTTCAAAGGCGATTTGAGTGAGACATTGTAAATGGGCTGAGTATAAGCAATGTGATCAGTTTGCCTGAGCCTTTTTCTGCACGCCAAAAGCTCCAACAGAATGGTGCATGAAGTGTTCTCTAATATCTCTTCATTTTCTTACAGCCATTGAACACAAATGAATGAAAAACTGACCCCTTATTACTTTTACATAAAGAACAACATTCCAGATGTAAGACAATAGACTGTGTGTTGCTTCTTCAAAGCTCAGAGTTAAGAGCTCTTGAGAAACTGGAGAACTCCCTGTTCATCAATGGCTTTTCAGGAAGTGTTTGAGGAATCATTTTCCATCCTGCAGAAGATAAGGATCTGAGGCTGTCAAGTATGTTCCTGCCCAGCGGAGAGCTAACATATGTCAGCAGGCAGTCTTCCACATCTGTTTTTAACATCCACTCCTCTGCTACAAACATGACTGCAAGTCCAAATGCCTGCTCTACCAAGCCAGGACAAGGAGGATTCAGAAAAATCTCTTCTACTGGAGAGCCGAGTGCATGTCCAATCCCAGGAGCAGGACCTGGGGTCCTAGAGATGCGTGTTAAGGAGGGAAGTAAAATTCGAAACCTTTTGGGCTTTGCTATGTCTCGTCTGCAGGGGGAAGGACACGTGGTTCCAGTGACTCAGGTTATGTTTACTGGCATGGGCCGTGCTATCACCAAAACCATTACCTGTGCTGAGATCGTGAAACGTAAAGTCCAGGGGTTACATCAAGTGTCCAAGCTTCAGTACAGGACAGTGAGAGAAGTGTGGCAGAGCCAGGAGGATGAAGTGGTTCAGATGACCGTGCTTAAAAATGTCCCAGCCATTTACATTCTCCTCTCCAAAGAGCCGCTGGACCCACAGGAGTTAGGATACCAGTCCCCTGCTGAGACTGGCTCCAGCTCAGAGGAACAGAAAAGTTTAGATGCTACAGAGGTTTCTGGAAAAAGACCCTTAAGTCCCAGCTCTCAGGCGACCCAGTCCAGCATAAAAAGAACACACACAGAACCAGCAAATAATTACTAGTCTAAAAGAATTAAATGGGAATCAACTTGTACAGCCTAAAACATGCACTTTTCCTCCATTCGGTCTTAAGTGAAATGAACACATATCTGTGTATATTCCACTGGTGTACATTAGGATTATTAAAATGCTTGAACAGGAAAGATTAACCCTCCTATTATCTTTGGGATAAATTTGACCCTATTGAATGTTTAATGTCTCTAAATAAATGACAGATTTTTTGCTTCATATTTAATGACTTTCTCTAATAGGGACAACTGGGTAAACATAAAATGAAAATGGTGATTTTTTTTTTTTTATGTCCTGCACACATTTTGTACTCATCAGTATTCCTAAGGGTCAGTTTGACCCCAGGCTATTTTAGCTGTATGAAACATATCAACAATTTACACACGCTTGTTTTGGTTGTTTGGATGATACTGAGGTTGCAATAACATGCAATTTTAGAATCTTCAAAAAACTTTAGGGCCCTAATCTAACACAACGACACCTGTAGCAATGTGAGAACCACCAATAGTTTATACCATATGGGGGAGAGAAAACAGAACTCCCATCACAACTTTGATATTTCCCAGAGGTTTTAATTGCTGGGGTCAAACTGAAGATAACAGGAGGGTTAAGGCAAATAAAACATCAGTAAATCATGTAGTCTTTCAAAATTGTTTTTTTTCCTGAGGTTTTCTTCAAAAGAAAGAACCCTCTGTGTCCCGCAGCACTGAAGCGCAATACTGACCCCTGCAGGATCTTCTGCAAATTGATGATTTACCCAAATTCATCCAGCCACCAAGTGTAACTTCCAAGTAATATAAGATACTGTAACTGTATATGTGCACTGACAAAATAAAAACAACAAAGTCATGCTATACTTCTCCATGGATTTGAGTCATTTGAGTTTGTTTGTGATAAAGATTTTTGTTTTTATATACCTAAACAAGAGAACAATTTACCAACTGTGATTAGACAAAGGCAAGACCAGTATGTAATTTTAAGAAGCTGCTAAAGATTATAATGTGCAAAAGTCAGAGACCACTCGTAATTTATTTAATTTTCAGACAAAATGGCCATTAAGTACAAGTACAGGAAAAAAACAGAAAACATATTTTACAGAAAATTACACAGAAGCCTTAACAACTAAACATAATATCTAATATTTCAGTATTGATTGTGTCCACTCTTTGTCCTCATTACATCTTCTGTTCTTTAAGAGGCTTGCTTTCAGGGATATTGTTCCACACCTTCAGTCTTAGAAGTTGCTGCTTCTCACAATCCGAGTAATTCCAGACACATTCAGTGATGTTGGTGTCTGGATTCTAGGATGGTCAGCCCACTGCTCTGAGATTCTGATTACCTTGTTTTTACTAACTTTCTATTAATTTATTGCCATTATTGCTACTGTTTAAAATTATTTTTACTATTGCTGCTTATTTTACTTTTGATGGGTACTATTATTTCCATTGCCTTTGTACTTTATTATTGATGTTTATTTTATTTTTTACTGATGAGTCTGTGTGTGTATATATTTGTTTTTGTTTTTTTGTATATTTATACAAATGCATGCACACACACACACGTCTATATATATACATATATATATATATATATATATATATATATATATATATGTATATATATATATATATATATATATATATATATATATATAAATCTATCTAAATATATATATAAATCTATCTAAATATATATATATATGTATATTTCTATAAATATATATTATATAAAGCTGCTCATTATTATTATTTATTATTATTATTATTGGGTGTCTTCAAATAAATAATAATTTGATAATATATCCTATATTTTATAATATAACCTCACTTTTAAAGCGAGGTTACTTCCTGTGACTGTGATGTAGTAGCCAATCCTAGAGCAGGGGGCGGGGTCTGTCGGAATACGGGTGGAGAAAAGAATAAGGCTCGTATCTGGACACAGGGCCTCAGCCTCCTCCTCCACTCCAGCGGTACTGAGCTACCGTCCAGAGTCCAAGTGAGCCGGTGTCCAACCCGAGATCATGTTCAGAGCCGCCCTCCGCCTTTCATTCTCCGGTGCCCGGAGTTTAACACGTTCACGACCACAGTATACAGGTAATTATTATGAACATACGCTCTGAATAAAAGGCTGTGTTGTGTCACTCTTGGTTATCTTACCGCGAGGCGAACACCTTCATCCGGGCGCCTGAATCAGAGCTTGCTGAACGGTTAGCTGGTTAGCCTGCATGCTAACCACAGGTAGCCTAGCGAACGTGTGTGAAGTTCATAGCTGGCTGGGCTGGTGTACTCATTTATAACCCTTGCTGTGGTCGTATCTAATGTTTAAATTAAGTAACTGTGCCTCTTTAAAAGCGCGGGATTTGGTCTGCATGTTAGCCAGCGCTACGCTGGAGTTTGACTGTGTCCTTGCAATGACCCGTTGAGGATCTCAGGCCCAGCTGATCTGTGCTAGCCTAGCTCACTGTACCGGTCAGTGTCCTTGTTCATTTATAAGTTTAAATGCGTTTTGGACCCAGACAAGTATTAAAACGTGTTTTAACTGTAAAGACGTGGAGAATCTCTTCGCTTCTAAGACACGCTATCATTATTTTCATAACTAAATGCGCAAATCTGACTTAGCCAGCGGTTTGCTAGCTGACTGACTACGTGCTCTGCAGGGAAACTGTAATGAACAGCATGAAAACCACGGGCTGCGCAGCCGGGCTGAGCTGAGAGGTTGACATTACTGCTGTGGCTAATGCTACATATAGAGCTCGACTCACTGACCACTGGGTGTCTGAGCAGACTAAACTAGCAGCGTTTATCACTTGTTATTCACGCTTAGTTACGGAAACTAGCATGTTAGATTTATTGTTGTTCATACATTTAGTCTTCATGTTGAAGTTTTTTCTGACCTGTTTCAGAGGTCAGCTGTCCTGAACTATGAAACCTCAGTAGGTCAGACAGAAAACACTGGTCAGGTTCCATCTGGACGAAGGAATCAGTGTCACGAGTATTGTTGCCCTTGACTGATACGTAACCATCAGGTGGACCTGCAAAATGGAGTTGGCATTTAATGCACCTGTGGGGTCTTCATAATACGTGTCTACCTACAAATTGATTGCACTAGTTCTTGAAATTTGGGATGATAAAGCTTTATCTCCCAATGCAATGCGAATAGCTACAATTTAGACTGTGGGAAAACAAATGGAGTGAACATGTCTTGGTCAGTGTTTTTAAAAAAAAACTGCAGGTGAAGGTACAACATATTATGCCTAGCAGTGCCTGTCCAATTATTCAGTTGCCTATTCATTTATTAAAGAGGTGATTCAAAATATTTCTGTAGAATCCAGAATTGATGTAGGAGAAACCGAAAAGGGACGACAGTAGTGTTTACAGATGATATCAGTCTTTTGTTCATGCTGCACTTCCTGAAATGCCCTTAGATAAAACTGTAATGGTATAATTTTAATTTTATTTGTATATGAGTGATGCAGATTGGGATTACTGATGCAGAGCATCTTCCTTAAAACTTATAACAAATTCCATACAGTCATTTCTGTTACAGTGTATATGTTTATATTTAAAGTGAGCCCCCACCCGCTTTGCCATCTTTATTGCTATTATGCGAGGGTGTTACTAACTAGGGAGGATTCGGGCTCATACAAATTCGCTAACCGTTCCATACGATAAGCACACATACATATTCAGCCTGTACCAATTTTCTAATCAGTATTTCAGCTCTCAGTGCTTTTTGAATGAGGTGCAATACAGAGCAGCCAGTCAGAACAGTGCTCATTTACAGTCTTAAAGGTACAGTGACAGAAGCAGCCTGTTCAATTCTAAGGATAAAAAGAGATTGAAAAACAATCATGTAAAAAAAATTGTGCATAAAAATCACACAAATGTCATGTTTCCTTAAAGGAAAAATGCCTGGAAAAAGTTTGAAAAGTTTGATTGTATGACCTGACAGGGTTGATGGGAACCCTGCCACCCTTTCCATGAAGTGAAGGCACAGTCAGTTGTACTCACAAGCTTCCAGCCATAGTTGATTGCCCTGATTGCTCAGAACCCAAAGTCCTGCAGTAGTAGAAACTGTTTTGAGCTGCTGTCGCCCCCGATACCCCTGCCATATCACGCTTAGAGGCCACAAGGCATAACCTACTGATAACCTGTTATTTTTTCCTACATGCCATAAACATGATATATATATAGCGAGATGTGTGCTGGCATCTATTTACGGTACCATGCCGTCTTTCATTCCCAGTGTGTAAGTGTGACCTGAATCCTAGCTTTAGGGTGCAACTGTACTGCTAAAAGGTGCTTAGAGAACAACATTTACTAAAGACATGCAATTAACATAGTATGTTAGACATTTTTAATCTTTACTCAGCAGCAGAAGAACAATGAGCTATACCATATGTACATTTCCTGCTAAACCTCAGTCAATAACATTTAAGGGGAGATTTTTTTTTTTGGTCAAAGGAAAAATTAATAGTTCATTTCACATATGTCCTGAAGTTTTATCTGCTGTAATTTTTCTTATCTCAGGCAAAACTACAAAAATGCTCCCAGCTGTTCCACACAGTGGCATGGAACTTTTTGAAGCAGGATTGTTCAAAGAACTTGCACTGGCAACAGACAGGAACGTGTCTTTTATGCAGAGTGGTGTTCACAATAAAGGCACCATTGTTATATCAATGAAGCAAAGAAATATAGCTCTTTCATTCTTAGCTTTCTCATAATCTGACAACGCAGGAACCAAGTACCTTAAAACACGAACAATGGTTAATGTTTTGCTCCAAACCAGGTTTGTTCCTGCAAGCCAAGAATTACGAATGTAGCTAGGCTAGCTAGCTAACCACACATCATATTAACATCACTGCTTAATTATACCAGCGTGCCGCTTGTCTGCAGGCACTGCCCACATTAGCCGTTTTTTTCCTTAAAAAAACAAAACAGTAAGACGTGTTTTACAATAAATATTTTACATTCTCAAATCACTCTCACATTTTAGATTCTGTGTGCTTTTCATATTATATTACCTGCTGTGACAAGAATGCTTTCAAAGGCCTGAATGATCACAGTTAATGTAGGATTTTCATGTTTTCAAATATTTTTTTTCTCAAATACATGCAACATTATTTTATGACTGAGTGAGTGCCGTTTCACTGATGTTCTCTTGTATTGTTTCCCGAACAGCTCCTCTAGCTGCTCGCTGCTACTCTCATGGCAAACAGGAGACAGACGAGGAGTTTGATGCCCGCTGGGTCACCTACTTCAGCAAACCAGATATTGATGCCTGGGAGCTGAGAAAAGGTAGGTTCTACAGTATTTCAGCAAATTCTATCTTTGACTCTTGAGGTCAGGTAATAGGCATTTTTATCCTCTAAATAATTCTCTAACTCTGAATAGTGAGTTATGATTATCTTAAGTTGTTTCATATGTTCAATAAGTCCACTTATTTGATCGGTTCTACATCTCAGCACTATTACAATTAAGGTTTACTTGTTCTGTTTGTTTGTTTTATGAACTGTGACATGCTTTTCAAGTTGCAAGACGTGTTTTACTTGGTTTTGACTCCCTTTATTGCTCAAAACATTTTACCCAGATCATCCTGATCATCCAGTTTTAAAATGTGTCACAGGACAAAATGCAGCAGTTCAAAGCACGTTTTCTCCTATAGTTTATATGTTGTATCGCACACAATCATTTCTTGGAAAAATTTAAAGCAAATTCTTTTGACCGATGATCAACCATCATTAGTCAGCAATTAGTTGTCAACCATGAAACCTAAAATTAAGGACATAACCCATGAAAACTGCTTTTCTAAAACGATTTGTTGAGCCATTATAAAATATTTGATATACCCAAACTTATGAGTGCACACATCCACTGATTTCTGTATTAAATATTATGAGATATTAAAAAGTGATACTTGGATTTTTATGGAATGTAGTACATATGGGTGGGAACAGGTATAACGTGTATATGGGGAAAAATGGCCCAAAACGATTTTAAAAATGCTCCACATAAGTTTTGTTTAAACTGAGAGGCTGACAACGAGTTATATATTCATTATTATATCAGCAAAAACTTAAAATTGATGTCAAATATTTAATGGGCTACTGAAGTTCTATATTCTTAAAGTTATTCATTCATTCATTCCTTTATTTATTACTGATTATCATTGGTTGAACAATTGCTTATTTTTCAGTTTACAGTTGATCAGTTAATCAGTTACATCCTAGTTCCAGTGTGTCAGAATATCACAGACATGATTGTGTGCATTGAAATGATCAGGGAACCTCTGTATATCAACTTGGAAATACTTTGAATGGATAGAATTCTTTGCCATTCCTTTGGAGCTCCAACACTTGATGTGTCACTGTGGTAAATGTTGCTGTTTTCTCCCAGGTATGAACACGCTGATTGGTTACGACTTGGTACCTGAGCCCAAGATCCTGGATGCAGCCTTGAGGGCCTGTCGGAGGTTAAACGACTTGGCCAGTGCCATCCGTATTCTTGAGGCAGTCAAGGTTGGTGGAAAAATATTTGAAATGTTAAATACATTTGGCATCACTATAGATGTTGTTCTATCTCTGTGTTAACTAGGGCTGGTCCTAACAGCGTTTTACAGGCTTGGAGTACTAAATTGGTATTTCTGAACAAGTACTCGAATACTCCTTCTCAAAATCATCCTTAAAAACAATAATATTTACATTTCAGAATTTTAGTGTGTTAGTTTTTTTTTGTAGTTCAAAATATAACCAGTGGGTGGCAGCAATAAACTAATAGTGTGTACCAGTCCCGGAGCATATGAACTGAAATCAGACTTGAAGTAAAGCATGTAGCATACCAAATGGTACTTGGATAAGAATCACTATGCTTAAATATATCAGATGATTAATCCAACTGGCTGTGCCTCCATAATATACCAACCTCTTACCACACTGAGTGTTTTTCTTATCGTCTGATAATTTACAGTGCTTTGAGGTGAGGTGACATGGATACCTGGCATGTATTTATGATGCATATGGCTAATCCAGTTATAATTTATTTTTAACATTGTCCTTTAATGATATAATGAACCTTTACTGATTTTCATATTTCCTTTAATGATTAAATGTGTTACAGTTAAGGCTACATTGTTGTGGCTTAGAAAGGGCAAAGCGCCCAAATAATAAATAAGGAAAAGAAGACCAATGTATGAACAAATACTTTAAATTATTCAAATTATTCATGCCAGCCCTGGCATTAACCCTTTTTTATTTTAGTATATAAGCTATGTGATTGCTGTTAGTCCCAGAGTTATTTTGCCTTTTATTATTTTGCACATAAAACATGTACCACAGTTTTATACATTGTCATCTGTACATGTTTCTTCTCTGAACTTAACATAGGACAAAGCTGGGCCCCACAAAGAGATCTATCCCTATGTTGTCCAAGAGCTTCGGCCCACTCTCACTGAGCTGGGAATCCCCACACCTGAGGAACTTGGCATTGACAAAGCATAGACGTCTGCGAATGTGGTAAGCATTTGCACAAACCAGTGCAGCCAGCATTGTTATCTCTTAAAGCAGTGGTGTCAGACTCAGGTCCTCAGGGCAACCACCCTGCAGAGATTAGTATTTTCTGTCTTCTAAACCTCAGTATTAATCTCATGAAGGACTCTGTAATTAGCCGAGTTGAATCAGATGTGTTGTGTCAAATGAGGGAGACTCCTGAGAGTGCTGTGGACACACCCTGTCTTAAAGGAAGCGTTGTGATTTGAGTCATTGTTAACATGTCAGTATCTCTCCTCTGTCTTTCCCTGCAGAGTCTTCTGAGGACCTGTTGCTGTTGTTGAGAAGGAGTGGACCTCTGTACTTGAAGTCTCTGCCTCATGTCATGATATTTGTGTTATATTTAATTGGCCTTTATTATGTTCTTTTGCTTGTAAAATATTGATGGACTTAATAAAGGGAGATATATCTTTACTGAATCCATTTGTCTGTTTGCCCAGAAGCTCTTGTTTTCGATTTACTGCCATGAGTTCAATGTCACATCACACATCACATGAGATAAATGACCCTTGTTCAACCCAGCAATTTGTTTTTCCACTAGTGGGAAACTGTAATATTAGTTTCAGTGCACCGCGGCGCCACTAGGGGGCGTAACGCGAGCGCGCTTTGTCATTAGTAGGCTGACGCCTAGAAAACAACCGGTGGTGGCAGGTAAATGGACACCTACAACTGAGCAAATGAACGTTTTGACTCGCTGTACACACTGTTAAGAATAAAACTCATTAAGTTCATAGAGGAGAAGAGGAGGAATGTAAGTTACAGTTTCTGAATGTGTTCAAACGTTCAGCATAAAGCCGAACAACAACGGGGCCACAGCCACGTATATACAAACAGCCGTCGTATGCACATTGAAGGCGCAGCAGGGCGGAGGGGACGCGCGCCTGCTCGTCGTTGCAGGCGGCGGGGCGGGGCGGGCTCTAGCCGGGTGTTCATCAGGGGGGTTTGGCTCTGGGTGGAGGAAAGGCGAGGGCAGTGGGAGTCCCTTGAACGGCACTTCGGGAGCTGAGGTGAGCTCAGGCAGGCATTTCCCCTCGGCTGCCCCCTCCCTCCTCTGCTTTTAAAGAAAAAAAAAATCGATTTTTCCCAGCGACCACCGAAAGGCTGTTGCACTCTTATCGGGGACATTAGACACTCGGGTGGATGCAAACATTACTGGTGTACTGCTCAAGCGCGGACAGCTTTGTGAAAGAAAGAACGAAAGCAAGAAAAAGGGGAAAGAAACATCTAGGAAGGAGGGATGGTGGACAATTCCAGTAGCGGTGGCAGCAGCAAGGCGCAAATGGTGAGTCCCGACTGTTGGCCAAGATCCACGTTTCGGCGCAGTCTGATAAGAGCTGCCGTGAAACTGGATTCCTGGCCCTCGAGCGAATAGAAAAAAAAACAATGAAGGGGTTTTAAATCGAGTCACCGGGGTTTAATGTGTCAAAGCGCTTTTACGTTTGTGTTTTTGTTTAGTTGTTGTTTTTTAATTAGCCTGGACTGGTTCGGCTTTTATGTCGCCCAAATCCCCACGGGACACGTCATGATTTCAGTTTTGTGCCCCCCACCCTGTTTATACACTTCTGATAGACCCTTTAGTTACTCCACACTACAAGTTCGTCGTAAATTGGCGCTTCTGTAAAACTCTAAAGCAATCTTTAGTCTTGTTTTGTGTGAATCTCTCTGCTCCGCCGCTGCCGGTCGGCCGGTCGTGCTCCGTGTTGGTGTTGGTCACATTTAACTGTTGATTTTGGACGTGCGCCATTACTTTGGAGCAGCCGCCGTTCAAGAGTGAGCGCAGGGCTTCTACAGTCAAACTTACTTCTGTACCCGAGTTAAAACACGTAATTCCATGAATTAAGTAGATTTAGCCGAAATAGATTATTTAGCTCAATGTAAAGCGACACGGTGTTTTGGCCGGAAATCCGGTCATCTTTGCCAAATAGCCACCGTTCGGGTCAAAGGACACCCGTGCATTTTAACGTTAGCTGTTAAGCACACAGATTAGCTTTCAGTGAACGAGGTTTAACGTTTTCTTCTAGTCGTGTTGGTATTTTAAACCAGGTCACTCTAAATTTTCGTATATAAGTAGTAAGTCTCGTGAGAAAACCAGTTTGTGTCTCTTGAGCGAGTGCTGGTGAGGTGAAACGTTGAATGTGAGCCAGTGTGTCTCAGAAACATAACCCACTGATTAAACTGCGAGCAGTAATGCTGATGTTATTTGTTCCTCAGTCCATCTTATCTCAGGACAGCAGCCTGGCAGGAGCCTTCTCTCAGGCAGCGCTGGGCGGTGCGGCCGGCATCAAACTCGAAGCAGTTATGGAGCAGCTCCAGAGGCAGCAGCAAGCCAAGCTAGAGATGGAGCGAAAAGAGAGGCACCTCAGGGAGGCCCACATTCTCTATGCCCAGCAGCTGGCCGCTCAGCAAGCCATCATGGCTTCAGCCAGGGCCCAGGGTGCACCACTGACCCCTGAGTTCTTCAGCAAGAGCGCCCTAGAAAGAGTTCCAAAGGGCAGCCAGGGGCCTCCAGCCAGCAGGGTTTCTACACAAAGCAGCGTGGACTCTGTTCGGGAGGAGAACGAGATGGACAGAGGGAGAGATTCTGCGGGAGAAGAGGACGAAGAGGATGAGATGATGGATGGCGAGGAAGGCAGCGAGGATGAAGAGAATGAGGGTTTGGAGTTTCTAAGGAAGCAGAGCCTTGCTCTCCAGCAGGCCGGTGTGGGAGTTCCTCCGTATCCCTTCCCCGTCTACGCTGCCTCTCCCTCGGCTGCCAAAAAGCGGGCCCGCTCACCCCCACCCAAAGTGAAAGATGAACCAGAAGACAGCCCATCTCCTACTGAACAGCACTCCTTCACCACACCAAATGGCCTGGCTGACTGGAGCTTTGATGAGTCAATCAAACAGGTTTGTGTTATGTCTGTATAAATGTACAGCTAATTGAATTGGAAGTGACACTGTTTCAGACTTCTTGTTTAATCAGGCATAAAAGTGTGAAAGTCTGGGTTTGATAGATTCTTTGACTTCTAAAAATAGTGGAGCCTTTTTTATGGTGCTATGTAGAACCAATGTTCAAAAGTATCTTTAAAGAAACATGTAAAACAGGTGATAAAAGGGTTCTATGTAGAACCCTAAAATGGTTATTTGATTTGCAAAAATAGAGGAACCCTTTGTGGTGCTGTACGGAAGAAGTTTCTTTAAAGAACCATATTCACCAGGTTTTTATCATAAAGAAGAGCCATTTATTCTTCCGGATGGTTCTTTGAGTGTTGAGAGTTCTGTACATAACCATTGCCTTTCCTAAGGAACCAATGAACCGTTTTTAGGGATGATGAGTAGATTTCAGATGCAAATTTCACTGTTATTCTTTAATTATTCACATGCATACCACAGCATACAGTACATTCCCCAAAGCAATATTCATAACCATGCTTCTGATTTACCCCTTTTCTACTACATAATCATTTTTCTTTTTTTCACCTGAATATTCCTTTCTGTTTTTTACACTGTTGATCTTTTGCTATGAGCAAAACCACATGTGATGCTGCTGTTTCAGTTTTGTTAGTGGGCTCCTGTAAGAGTCAGGTGTTGACCTATTATGTCTTTAAATACCTGGAAAGTGTGCCGTTCTGGCAGTCCGCCCAGCAAACTGGGAATGTCATTCTCTCTTTCATTCATTCTTTTTTTTCTTCCTGCGTTCTCACTTTCCCTCTGTTGTTCCTGGCCCGTGGTGTTTTCTTGGAACAGACACTTGGCAGCGTAATGCTGTCTTGGCTTCTGTCCAAAGAGGCTCGTCGTCAGGGCCGCCAGACAGAAAGCAGAGGTGTTGTGGACGCGTGCCTCCGCCGCAGGAGACCAGGCCCTTTGGTTCACGCTTATTGACGTGGCTTTAGAAGCTGACCTGAATGTGCTAATATTTTGATATTATAAAGTTTTAAAATTATGTTATGAGAGTGAGAGATGGTATTTTTCTCTACATCTTTTGTCTGAAAACTTTAGATATATGATCTCAACACATTAAACATAAACTGGAACATTAAAAGCTCTCAGACATTGTTAGCCTGACCGTATTACATTTGTAGAATAAGGAATACACATGCATTAGTGCTTTGTCAGGCACTGGTTTGCTGAAGCCTACATTGTGTAGTTTGTGCATGAGAATAGTTGATAAATCTGAGAGAATTGTTTTATTTTATTATTATTTTTTTGTCCTTTTTTGTCTCCTGTAGCTTCTAAAATCTTGCAACAAAAAGCCTGTTTGTTTTGTCTGTAGAACTGACCTACTTCACATTGACTTAAGTTGACTTGAGAATTACAGACTTACAGACCAGATTTGGCAGTGCTTTTATGGAAAAAAATCCCACACTCTTCAATGCAGTCATGGCTTCCCTTTCATTTTAGACTGTTAGATACCTATGAAGATGTAAGTTCTCTTATTTCTCATAAAGCTCAAATATAAGACACATCGGTATAAGTTTAGTTTTAGATGTAGTATTAGTGAGCACACAGCTGTGACGCTATCATGGAGGGCAGTGAGGCTCCACGTTGATGGGCAGTGCTCTTATGTTTTCGTCACACCCAAGCCACTGTATATTTAGAGGCTAATGATGTGTGTGTGGGTGTGGGCAATAAAATTGCCTGTGTGCACTCTTAAAAACTTGCCAGCTGGATGTGGGCTTCATTATAGCTGGAGACGGTTTGACTGAGGTAGCTTCCACGGCTATGTTTAGCGATCCTATACAAGCACGTACAGTCTTGGCTGCTTTTTCCTCCTTGACGTCTCAAACCGTTTGTCTATATATATATATATATATATATATATATATATTAATATATATATATATATATCATTCACCTGAGACAAATGCTCAGATAACATCCTGTGCAACATTCCTGCCTAAACAGCGCTACAGAATGTTTCACTTAGCCATTTTTTGATCAATTACACACTTTATTCCATTAAAAATAATGAAATCGGTTGTGTGTCTTTTTTCAGCAGTGAGCATGTTGTGCAGATTGGTTATGGCAGTGAGCACAGCAGGACCCTTTGGCCATGTTGTTGTAAGAGAGAGAAAAACTCTGTTAATGCATGCTTTATAGAAGTTTGACCTTGTGGCTTGGCTCTGACATGGGTGGAGGGGAATTTATTGTTGACTGAGAATTTCCTTGTCTCTCTTTTTGTTTTGCTTTCTTTTCATCTTCCCTTTCTTTATGTCTGCTCTTTAGTATTTAATGATGCTGTGCTGTGGTAACAGTATCAGATTGCAGTATGTGTGTTGGGGGGGGTGGTTGGGAGAGGGAAGGGACTAGTTTGATGGCACCGACTACACAAAAGAGAACAGATGCCACAAATGGCATTTTCAAATGAGGGTGGGGGGTTGGCTTTTTGGAGCCTTTCACACTTAAATGGATAAGCCTCAGTCAATCGGCAAACACAGTCACGCTCAGAGACCATGGTAATGTTTACATATAATCTTAGCAAATAAGGGAATTAATTGGCAGCATAGAGATAAAAACAAGTTGAAGCCTGCTTTGTTTATAGTCTCCATGGGGAATGACCTACTGGTTTACTGAAGTCACGTGCACACAGCTCAAGGAATAGCCTTTCGGTAATCATGAGATCAGGCATTTCATTATGTGAAAGGCTGTGTAAGTTTATTGATAAATTTAAGTGTTTTTTCATACCCAGACAACTTCAAGGAATACTCGGCAAAATGCAAATTATTCTCAGTGAGGCTGTCTGATTGGTTGTCACCACAGTAGTAATGCTGACTGATGTTTTAGAGACTACATGACCAACACTGGTAGCAAGCTCTTTTACAATACCCCTTTTGTGGTCACCTAGCATGCTAATCTACTATGATTAATGGTGGTTTAATCAGATTCAGTGGACACTGGACCATGTGTGTGCTGAATTATACCCAACCAGTGTTAGCTAGTATGAGGTTGTTGCCTTTTTTCTTTGGATTGTGTGTAATCCACCTTCATGACTGTCAAGTTATACATTATTTCTACCTATTTTTATGCTACATAATTTAGCACTAGTAATAGCAACAAAGTTGACACATGAATGCTTTGGCTGCATGTCACTGCAATAACCTTGCTTGGTAGAGTTTCAGTTTCTGCTGTATTTAATAGAGGCTGTAACCGAGAGTGGAAGAATTGTGTACCCAAAGACAAAAGGCCCTTTCAACCCAAGGCGTCGATGAGATGTTGCCATGGTCCCTCGTTGGTTTCATAAGGTGCTCAACCTTCAAGCTTTATTTTCACACCGTTGAAGACTGGGTGACTGAATGGCAAGCTTCAGCGGTCTTTCCTGTGGTTGCAGAATGATCTTGTTTGTCCAACAGTGTTGCATTATTTAACAGTCACCTTAGCAACACATCAAGCTTGTGCTGGCAGTACAAGCCAGCTGGGTGCAATCAGTTTCTGTGAGCGTATATCATGGTTTAGTGTTGCAGGAATGATTTGTCACATAAATTATCAGTCGGCAGAAGACCTGGCGCCTTGCTTGTTTGGGTCTGTTTTGTTGTGTAGCTCCTTGATTTACAGTGTAGCTCCTTGCATGTATACTACATTTTGGCCTGTCGCAATTATTACATAATTACCTGATCAGTCATTTGAGCTGATAGCAGTTTTTTAAGGCTGATTGCAATTGTTTTCCACAGTGGTTAGCTTTCAGTCATACATTTGCATCACTTCAAATAGAATCTGAATGCAGATGCGCTTTCATCAGTTGGGTTGGGGCAAATACATGTAATTAAAGATATCATGGACCTTACAAAAAACAAAAATGTTGTAACTTTTGACTGGTGTCATAACGCCTTTAGAGGGCAGCTGTGAGTAATGTTTGTTTATTTGAACTTAATCCATGTCCGTCTTCAGTTGGGAGCTACAGGGTACAGCTAGGAAGCAAGATATCTAATCAGCTATTTTGGCCACTTTAGACTTTTACTTGAATACAGTGAACAATAAAAGACAATTAATTTGTTAATCACAGCTATTTGTTTCTAAATTAATCCTCAGCTAAAATTTTATGATTGTGACAGGCCTGCCTGCCTACATAAAGTTTTTGTGTGGTATAAACCGCAGTTTCATGTCAGATAGTTAAGCTTCAGATTTCATTGACCATAAATAAACGTTTTCGTTAAGAGATTTTAACCACGGTTTTGTCTTTCATTGTCGTCAGACACCATCTTTGTTTGGTGGTCCATCTTGATGGAGAGTTAGCATTGGGCCTTATTGCATGACAACTCTCCTGGGTCCTATGAAGATGTGATCACTGTCGTCAATGTAAAGTGCAGCCATCTGTGATATAGATCAGAGCCTGTTCAGTTCTCACATTCTGCACCTTGTCTGTCTTTGAGACTGACGTTTCTAGATTCTAGGCTCCAAATGTCTCCACTGGAAACAATGTAACACTGTGGGGCAGATTGAATGAGTCATTGTCCTGGACTTTTTCAGGAGGGTAGCGTGAACTTTGTGATTGGGCAGGAACTTTAAAGCCTGGTATTTGATAGTAAAAATCTTTAAAGGCTTGGAGTGAGTATGTGAAGTACGGGAGGGGTTTGGTGTGCGTCTGTCTAGATTGTCCAGCCCCACCCAAAGGAAACATTCCAAGTGGAATTAAGAGTTCCTTCTCTTGAAATGGTGAGAATTCCCACCGGGGGCCTGTGCATGAGCAGAGAATAGAGGGAGTGGCTGTGCTGCAGTCGTCCTATGATTTGTGACCTTTTCTAGTCAATTTCACTCGACGTGACAAAAGTAGTAACGGAGGGGGGTGGTAATCGAGCAGAAAGGTAGATGGGGAAGGGAAGGGGGGGGGCTGCTTTTTATTTCCCTGTCCATTTCCTTTACCTCTCAGCAAGTCTAGAATGCCCCCCCCCCACAAAACCCCTTACCTTCAGCGCCTGTCCTGACCTGCCTGAGGTTGTTTTCTCTAAAAGGTTTGGGATCCTCTCACCTCTGCAGAGAAGTAAATAAAGCAAATTTACTTGGATTTACAACAAACCTTTTGGTCTAATTCTGTGGTAATATCCAATTCTGGACATTTTGACTTGTACCAGAAAAAGAAACTGGCACAGTTTCAGATAAACATAATGAACCGGTACTTCTCAAACGGGACACATTATACTCGAAGACTCACTAAAATATAGCCTACAGTAAAATACTGCAATAATTCGGGTAATTCCAAAAAAAATCGGGATCTTTGTCTAAATTAGGTTCAGTGTATATTGTCGACAGCAGAGTCCTTTAGCTGACAGTATATTTTACATTAGATGCAAAATATTCTAAAGCCTTGATCATCTGAATGTTATCTTGAGAATACCTCATGTCCTAATGATGGTGCTGGGCAGTGATGGACCTGTGTGGGCTGAAACATTCACACCTGTGCCATTTCTTTGAAAGACAATCTGTTTTGTAATGTAGCGCCCAGTCTGTAGTCAGCCAGTGGATATGACCCTTGCCTCAGGCCCTACTAAGGCTGTTTGGTTCTAGACAAGCAGCTACAAGCTCCTCCATGGGCCTTTGTCTCTGTTGTGGCTGTTCACTTTTATGTAGCCAGGGAAATGACCCTATTTGTTTAAGGTGAAATTTAGCATTACTACATCTTAAGTTTAGAGTTTATAATTTCTGCACTGTATGCTTTGCTGTTATTTGCAGTTTGCTGCATTTTATACTTTTGAGTAAATGTCCTACATTTGTTATGTAAGTCTTAATTGACTGTATCAAGTTTAGCAACTGCTTTCACATCGCATGTGATGGCCCTCAGCCAGCTAAGCACACTGCCTCCAATAAAGAGGGGATCCTTTACAAACCCCCACCCCCCCCAGCCCCTCGGCTCCCCAGCACAGCAAGGTGCTGAATAAATGATTCTCTGACTTTCAGCAGGGAACCCCAGGACCAATTATTTGATTTGGATAAAAAATTACAGAGGCCCCCTTTTAAGCCTGAGGGCGTATAAGTTGATTTCAGTGGTATGGCTCATGGAGCAGCTGTGCTACTGTATGAACTCTCATCACCGTCTGGACACAAATGTTCTAATCCGACAAAGGGAAAGATCCCTGTGATTATGGGTAATACAGTACTTTAAAAGGGAAAAACGGATCTATTCAATCATGTATGGTGTATATTATATTTTCTCCAGTTAGAACACAACCAGACAACAGAAATTATTTTTCCTAAAGTAGCACAGCTGCTCCATTGGCTGTGTCACTGAAATAAATATTTAAATATATCAGTCATTTCTTTCAGGACGTAACCCTATATCTTCATATTTAAATATAATTTGAAAACACCAAGTGCCTTTTATGTTGTGTAGACATAAATAATGAACCATTAGAAATAGTCCAAAATTACTTGGGGGTGACATTAACTTCCAGTATAAGCTAAGAATGTTTCTTCAAAACAAGGTTTTGTTCCAGCAGCGATGATATGGTCTTTTTTTCAGTTTTTTTTTGGTTTTTTTTGGGGGGGTGGGTGCAGCTTTGAGTACAGCCTAAATTACACTTTAAAGCTGAAATTTAGTGTTGGAGTGCCTCGTATTAAAATGTTTGACACCGATACTGGTTTTGCTTTGCATGCTATATGAACCTTCCAGGCGTTAGCATTATGTCAGCTCCAGACTGCAGGTTCTTCATTTCCTCTAAATGCAAATACTGGCCATGCTTTACAGCCCACTGTAATGTTTGCATTGACAGCCAAACAAATCTGTTGGATTTTCAAAGTTAGATTCTTCTTTGTTGAGAAAGAATCCCAACTACGTGTTTCTGTGAATCAGCCCAGTGTTTGTTCTTATCGTACTGGTAATTTTCTCGCCAGAGCACAAACTGATTTTTTTTCTGGACTGATTAAATTCAAAGTGAGATCTTACCCATGTTTCTGGGTGCTGCATGTGTGTGCTCTTAACCACACAAAAACAGTACACTAGCATTTGTGACATAAGGTGTTTGTCCTGTCTCTCAGAGTAATTATTTGGCATGGTCAGTTGGGCTATGTGAGTTTCTATTGAGTTGAGAGGGGGGGAGGGGACTTCATTTCCTCCTGCTAACCCAGATGGTCATCTGGTTCCTCCTCTTGGCTAATTTGCCCACTCATCAATCAGTCTTCTATAATATGATTAGTAAGGCCAAAGCCTGACCAGTAAGCCTGATAACAGCTTGCAGAGTTTATAAATGTCTTGTGTGTCAGATAATGTTACGCAATCTGTGTGTGAGTGCTGTGTTACCTCAATGAAAGAATGTGTTGGTAGTTGCCCGAGCACGAAGGGAAACTGTAATCTCTGAGTAAAATGTATTTATGAATACAGCTAAGGGTTCTGTTTGGTTGTACTGAGCGCAGCAGCATTTAATGACATAAATACTGAAGGTCCTCTTGAGGTTATATAGTGTATATGTATACATGCATCTGGACATCTCCCTTACTCACACATCACAATACCACACAGTGTGTCTGCCTTCCACAGTTGCTCCCCTGCTGAGTGGGCTCTCCTCTGGGCCCAGCTGGTGTGTGTTAGCTGTAAACTCTGAAGATCTCGCTCTCTCTCCAGCTGTGATTCACTTAGCATATTAAAGAGGGGGATGGAAGGGAACTCCTGTAAAAGTGCTTTATTACCTCTCTGCCTTGACTTTTCCAACTCCTCTCAGATGAGCTCTGGGTTGCAGGCTAGATGGCCCGTAATCAGGCAAAGAGTATGTGCACCAAGGGACCCTTAGAGTTTATAAGTGCTTTATGAGCTCAGCCACGCCAGTGATGCAGAGCACTTAAAGAAAGTGATCATCAGACGGCTAAAAACCAAAGTCACCAAATGTCTAAATAATTTTAAATTTTATGTCATGGGATCATTTCTCCTGATACAGTTGTATGCCTCTGGTCAAATGACATCTTTTGATGATTTTCTCGGTGAACATAAGCAAATAAGCAAATCCTCTACAAAGAGCTCACATCTGCGTGTTTTAATCCGTAGTTACTAGAAAAAATGAAACAGAGAATATAAGTTTATATATTTTATGCTATAATTGTTATATTTAATGTTTTTGTGTATGTTGTTGTTGTTGTTGTTGTTGTTATTTTATATATATCATTAAGAACAGCAACAATCCCTGTAGAGGATTAAGTAAGAAAAGCTAATGCATGAATATGACATGAAAATTAATGAAATGAGCTTGATTTTGGGGATTGAGAAATGTAGCTGTAACTCTAAGTGTGCCTGCAGTTAGAACTCAGAAACTCTAGAAGTTTAGAGGTCACCACTAATTTTCTGTAGTTGACTTTTCTCCTTTTTGTTCTCCCCAGCTTCTGACTCAAAGCCCTCCCTTCCTATTGTGTTTTTTAGCTTTTTTTCTTTGCTATACTGAGGTTGTTTCCTCTTCATCACCTTCGCTTTTGAAGCTAAAGTTGTCTTTTTTCTCCTTACAGAATGGTAATGCAAGTTGGAATGAAGAAAGCGATGGCGGGAGAGGAAGAGGAGAGGCCTCCAGGGACTTTGCCAAGGTAAACAAGAAGATCCAAGAGTCATGGCTGTTAGGTTCTTATGCTCTTATCAGTGACACACTGACACAGTTTCAAGTTGTTACCTGAAGGGCCTCTGCTGCTCTGTAACAAACTCATGAAAAGACAAAACTAAAAAATCTTAAAGAGCAGTGTTACATTTACACCTAACAAGCTGGCTTAGGCCTCTAGGTAATATTTAAAGTTGTTAATATCAAAATGCTACCAAAGAATTTAATGTGAGAGATTTATTTTAAATATTGTGCTATTTTGTTTCTTTTGTAGCTTTATGAACTGGACAGTGACCCTAACAGGAAGGAGTTTTTAGATGATCTTTTCACTTTCATGCAGAAAAGAGGTGAGAACAGTTTTTTTTTCTTTTTTTTTAAATTAACAATTTAAAAACATTGAAAGATGTTCATTGCACAGCTTATTTTAGATTTTCAGAATAATCCTTTTTTCGTGGCAGTAAGGTGCATTTTCTGGTTAATCCAAAACTCTGCCAAAGTGTGAGCACTCAGGGAGCTTGGTGCCTCTTACATAAACCTTTGCTATAAAATATTCCTGATATTTTCAAACTTCAGGATAAATGAACTGTCCCATCTGCAACAATTAGGAGGGTTATTCTATTGTTGCGGTGGCAAACGGAGTACGAATGTTGACATGCAATTAAAGTGGAAAATGTAGCCTATTATTCTGAGTAACATCAGTAAAATTGTAAAACCACTGACAAAACTACTGTATTCTTTTTACATTCTGTGTTTTCCACCAACATGTTAGTTTTAAAGTCGGATTGTATCAGAACATTACAAATGTTACATTTATTCATTTTAAATATTCAATATTTTGTCATTTTATTCAGTTTTAAAATCCTTTGATGTTTCATAAGTAACACAACTGACTGCAATCTTTCTGTGATGCATGAAGCTGTCAGTATTTTAGCCAGAGTTTCTCCTTTCTGGCGAAGGAGATTTCACAAACTGTGGACTTCTCAAAGATTTTGAGAGATCCATTGGAGAAGTATTACAAAAAGACCCTACTTTTTTTAATGTCATATGTTTCTTTAACACCACCAGCAAAAAATCTTGAGTAAAGATTGATCACAATACAATTATATTAATATATATTTAAAGTATTTTTTTGTTGATCAATTTAGGAATAGAGGAATAGGACAAAAATACACAGACATCTGCTAATTGTTTTCAGGTTGTGCGACAGCTTTCGCCAGCAAATGGTAGAATGACTGAGGTATCACAAGAATCTACCACTCAACACTGTTACACTTGAACTTAAAGCCATAATACCAGAGCTACACATTACCCAACAAGTAATGTTTTTAGACAAATGGCTGTAAAAACAATTATACTTCAGCTTTCTTTGACACACAATATGCTCACTACTCAAACGGAACATAATATAAGGCTAGCTTCTGAGAGTTAGTTGCTCCTCGACTTAGTTAAGTGGAATCATATGTCCTGAGTCTGTGTGATTGTCATATTGTGACAGTGAGATGAGTCTGCCAACGTCATCAGACAGGCTTAGCTTTCAGTGACACGGCTTGACGGGGCTGTTAACCCCTTCTGTAGGATTTAAACTCAACCAGATGGGGAGCTGTTTGTGCTGCTCTGCCAACCCCCATCCCTCCGTGTGTGTGGGTGTAAGTGGGGGTGTCAAGAAGTGAGACCTGATAATGGAGGGTGGACGGCAAAAGTGTGATCATGCCAAATGTCTGTCGGTGGGGTCCAATCCTGGTGATTAATGATGTTTGTTTGACTGCTTTAGTGTGAAAGACATGGCAGTTGAAGCAGACACTGTGACAAACTGAGATGGGTTTCTAACAAACCTCTATTCATAAGTCATCGTGTTGTTCCTGAAAACTCTCAGGTAGCTAAATTGTGGCCCACTTAAGACAGGAAGCCAAGGGCTGGGGGTCTTATCTGTTCCTTTTCCCACACACACAAAAGTGGCCAGCATGATGGTAGAAGTGTCAGCACATGAAGTTATGTTGCCTGCTTTGCCTGTAAATTAATTAATACTTCACATATTAATTAGAACAAGGAAGCAGTAATTACTTAAAAGGAAGTAATCATACTCTCAGCCCATGATTTGATCATTGATACTAGGTTCACTATTCAGTATGTTTCCAATATTTGAACATTTGAATGAAGGAACATGATGACTATAAATCTTGTTGTTGTAAAACTTGATGTTCAAAGATTGTAGTTGCATTAAATGTCATAGTTAATATAATGTATATTCGCCACACTGCGTTGTCAGATCTCCACGGTGCACATTGTCACACATTTCTGTGTCACAGTGCATTGGTATACCTCTAGTTACTTATTACTTATCATAGTCAAGTCAACTATCTTAAATTTACAATCCTGTTTCCAGAAAGGGTGGGTTGCTGTGAAAAATATAAATAAAAACAGAATGCAGTGATGTGCAAATCATTAAAACCCCATATTTATTCAAAAATGAACAGACAACATATCAAATGTTGAAACTGAAGTTTTGTTTTTTTGAAATATATGCCCAATTTGATGCCAGCAACACATTTCAAAACAAAAGACTGGCAAAGTTGTGTAATGCTTCAGAATAGCACCTGGTGGAACGTCTCACAACTTAAGTTAATTGACAACAGGTCAGTAACATAATCGGGTATAAAAAGAGCATCCCAGAGAGGCTGAGTCTTTCAGAAATGAAGATGAGGAGGGGTTCTCCACTGTGTGAAAGACTGCACGACCAAATAGCACTGCATTAAAAACAGACATGATTCTGTAAGGAAAATCACTGCATGGGCTTAACACATCAAAAAACCAATGACTGTGAACATGTCTGCATCCACAAATGCAGGTTAAAAAAACTTTGTGCATGTATTGCAACAGCATGGCACCATAGTAAGAGTCCAGCTGGTAAACTAACCTGCCTGCAGAATCCTCCAGACCTGTCACCCACTGGAAACATTTAGCGCATTATGACTCGAAAAATTTGACAAAGGAGACCATGAACTGCTGAGCAGCTGAAATCATATTTCAACCAAGAATGGGGAACATTTTTAACTTTCTTGGTCTCCTCAGTTCACAAACGCTTACAGAATGTCGTTAAAAAAAGTGATGCAACACAGTGGTAAACATGCCCCATACCAATTTTCTATTAGAGTTTAAATGATTTGTACATTGTTGCATTTTGTTTTTATTTACATTTTGCACAGCATCCCAACTTTTTTGGAAACAAGTTTGTAATAAATGTTGGTTAGAGTTCCGTGCAATAATTCAAAGACACAAATGGGTCGATAGATGAATGCGTAGGATGAGATGGGGTTTACACTAAGATATGGGGTAATGTAATTTTACCATTGTTTCTCAGTGATTTTAGTCCCATCCAAATTTGCCATATTGGTCATTTTAACCAACTGCGCGCTCCTGCGGAGAAGATTTTGGCACCTTTCACCAACTAGAAAACAAACCATAGAATTAACTGAAGATTATATTGATCCTGTGATGAATTGACATGTTAGTAAAATACTAACATATACTGTAGGGAAAAAAACAAGTTTGTACTAAGCATGGCAGCACTGTAGGAAGTGTTTGAGTTATTTGTGTCAAAAATCTAGCCAATATATTTTGTCATACCTCAAGTATATGATATAAACATCAAAACATGTAAATGACAGAAAAAAGCTTGTTTTTCTGAAGCAGTGTTGAGTGTTGACTGTAAATTCCAAAGCTGTTAACAGTGCTAATAAAACACCACATTCATGTAAGACAACATTCTTATCGAAGTGAAGGTAGTGTGTAAATTGAGTAGTCACTCGGTCTCTGTAATGTATAGTAAGATTTCTTATCCTGTGAGAATCAGTCATAAACAGTGGACAACCAGTGGTAAAATTGCATTGCTCCACTTCCACCTTGGAAAACTGAACCCGTTCAAATAGTACTCATGACAAGTAATGCTATAAGATTATATGCTTTAACAGCAAACTGTATGCTGAGCAGTAGGCCTCTGTCTCTTGCTCTGCAGTCTCTGCTGTAGGATTAGCAGACAGTGTCTGTGCAGTGTCATCAGCTATTTGCTCTGATTTCTTGTAGAAACACAGCTTTTTTCCACTGTTTGTTCTCAGTTGATCATTTCAGAAACTTGAACCAGTCAAGCGTTGCTTTCACACAGATTGAAACACATGCACGTGCATGCACACACACTTCACCTCGATACTCATGGGCCTCTATGCATTGTCCTACTTGTCAAAGTCTATGAAACCTGATAAGACTGGAGGAGCATAGAGGCAGGGGCTGCAGGCCAGTCGGGTGAGGGATGTTTGGAGTGTGTGTGTGTGTGTGTATATGTGTGTGTTCACAGGGGGGCAGGTGGGGTGGCCACTTGCTCGGGGCCTGGGCTGGATCAGATAGAAGTGGAGGAGAGGTGGATTAAGGGGCCCCCTGTCCTTCTGTGAAAGATTAATGAGTCCCTAAAATGTAGGGCCCCACCTTTGATATGAGGAGAATGACAGACAGTGGAAAAGAAGAGACAATGGAAAGGCTCGAGACCATCAGCAGGGTATGAAAAAGGGAAGAAGAGTAGATGGGGGGTGAAGGAAATGGTGACTAGATAGAAGAGCGAGAAGCATAGTTTATGAAGGAGTGCTCACATTGAGAGCCTGCAAAGAATAAAAAGGAAAAGTGTATGTAATGTTTCAGCGAAAAATTGATTCGATTCCAAACACATGAGGAAGAGATGATGGACACTAAAATAATAATGTGCTTATTATCAAAGCCCCCCACCCAGACAGATATAGACATGCTTTTTTTTGGTGTAATAAGGTATCATACACATTCAAAAATATTGTGGAAAATTTTAAATGAATTAAATTCATTAATTTTCATTAGCATGATTGTGTTCACGTACAGTATTGCCAGTCAAACAGTAGCCAGGTTTCCACCCAGTCGTCAAATTAAATTCAAACAAATAACTGAAATGTCCCAAAAACTGATGCAGATTGTGTAAGATAATAAAACATCATGTTTTATAAGAACACGTATGATAAATATGGAGTCTACGGATACATCTTTTATGTTGAGCAGGTTATTGTTGCTGTTTTGTTTAATTTTACAGACAGAATGCATAACTGTTCAAGAATTGTTCTTTTACTGTGGAATGTTTTTTTTTTGTCTTTGGTAAGGTAAAGTCAAGTCTTAACTTCATCAGTCCACCAATAGCTGCTGCCTGCTACTGTTTTACTGAACTTCCCATTCACAGTATGGCAGATATGTTTCCATCATAATTTTTTTTTTATTGGCAAAAAACATATAAGAGTTACACTTGTCTTTGTGGAGAGTGCAGTATAGAGTTATTCCAGTT